CACTAATAGTCACACTCACATCAGTCAATTCTGAGGGACAGGTTGCCTGGTTAGATTTTATTTATTTTTAGAGATGGGGGAAGGGATGGATGGAGAAAGAGAGGGAGAGAAACATCAATGTGTGAGAGAGACACTGATTGGTTGCCTCTTGCATACCCCCAACTGGGGATCTGCAACCCAGGCATGTAACTGGGAATTGAACTGGTGACCTTTTGGTCCCCAGGCCAGCACTCAGTCCACTGAGCCACACCAGCCAGGGCTCATTGCTGCAATTTCTTTCATTGCCAGTAGACCACTTTTCTGTTTTTAGGAGCTTGGCAGTGAGACTGTAATTTGATGGGAGATTTTGAGGTGGGTGGTAGTTAGAAGTGATGGCAAATATAGCGAATTTTTCTAGCTAACTTGGAAATCATTCTGCCACTTACTGGTTTCCGATGCTACCTTAGTCATCCTTGACACCTTCCTTTTTGTCACCTTCTTCACTTCCAATTAATCACCAGTTCTTGCCTGTCTTATTGCAAAGATCCCTTAAAATGCACTTGTCTCAAAGGTTAGTTCAAGCTGACATTTGTTTCTTTTTTTGTAACCAGACTTTCTCAATGAAAGGCAGTGGCGGTTTTACGTTGTAGCACAACTCCTTGTGTCCTCTGGGATCCACCGCAAACAGTTTACAGAATTGCTACTTGCAGTAGCTGTGGTCTAGACTACCATCATTTCCCATGGTCATTAGGGAAACTTTCTGAATCGCATGGCAGACAGGTTTGGGGGTGGGTGGGGGTGGGAGCTGTAACTGTAGGATTGTTACAGTTATACATGCAGATTACAAAAAAGAGGAGGAATCCTGTACTGTAGAAAAACAACAAACCATTCTCAGCCAAGTATTCCTGCTTATATTAAAGACCGTCAGTAACTTTTAAAACCAAAGAGGGACCCTGGCCAGTGTGGGTGTGGGTCACTTGGTTAGAGCTTTAGTCATAAACCGGAACTCAGGGGCTCATAGGAGAGGCAACCACTCCACGTTTCTCTCTCGCTCTCTCTTCTTCCCTTCCCCTCCCTCAAAACACACACACACAAAGGACGGTAGGGGCAAGGGAGGGTGGAGAAGGAAGTGGAGGAGTTTGAGTGGATGGGTTCAGCTCCTCGTACTGCAGGGGAGCTCGGCAGCACCTCGCTGCGAGGTTTCCGCAGGACGTGCTCCAGAACTCCTTGTCTGATCAACTGCTCACGCTTCCACCAAAGCACAAAGTGCTGGCTATTTTTATATTTAAGCAGGACTGAAGTGCCATCGTCAGCTTCAAATTCTGCAGTCTTTTAGACATCATACTTCAATAGGTAGGCTTTTGGGAGGTTTCATGTCCTGTGTAAAATCCAAACCTTCATCTCTTCCCAATGACCTCATTTATCGATACCAAGGCAATTTTATAATTATTGAACCATTCCATTTCTTCAGTAGACGTGTGAAATCGCAGAACATTTGGCAAAGCACTGCCGTATTCCCACTCCAGTCCTCTAAGCCAAAGTAGTCAGTCATACAGGTGTGCTACAGTGCAGCATTGATTTCTTGGCAAAACAGTGTTGACATTTGATGGTTAGTATCAGATCACTTCGTCCACCTGACTTGGCTTCATTCACATCAGACTGGCTTTGTTCATTTAAGCCTTTGTCTCCCTTAGAACTTGCCTCAGTCCATCCTCCTCTTTCTTTTTGTTCTTGGCTCAGGGACGTCCAACCTTTTGGCATCTCTGCACAGCACTGGAAGAAGAGAGTTGTCTTGGGCCACACATAAAGTACATTGTGTTATGTAATCACATGCACAAAATCTCATAATGTCTTCAGTAAATTTGCAGTTTTGTGTTGGGCTGCAGTCACAGCCATCCTGGGCTGCGTGCGACCCTCGGGCTGCAGGCTGGACGCCCCTGTAAGGGCATTTCCAGCCTTTGGGGAAAGTCAGAAAGCCGGGGTGGGAATAGAGGGAACTGACTTTCTGCTGCAGCTCTGGCTTGGTGGGTGCTCCCTTTCTGGCCAAGTCCTTCTCCAGTTCAGGCCACTAATCTGCGTGCGGGGAAGACCCTAATTACTCAGGTAAAGGAGGCCCCCTCCCGTGGACCGAGCCAGACCTCAGCCCAGTGAGAGTCAGCCTCTCAGCTCCACCCCAGCCATGGTGTGGGGTGTGGTTATGTTGGTCCTCCAAGATCCAGATGGATTTTTTTCCTAATGCAAATACGTTACTCTCCAGCTAAAAAAAAAGTTGAGTAGCTTGACCTAACTCAGGAGAAAATTCAAAATCTTAGCCAGGGTCTACCTCAGCCCAGAGTAAGGAAACGATATAATAGAGTAGAATTTTCCAGCATGTGATCCTAGATGGTATAGCAACAACACAAAATAATGCTGAATCACTTCAAATCATTGTGTAAATTAACTTTTCTGCTTATGTCAGAGGATCCTTTCTGCTTGTAAACTCCCATTATGTCCTTTCTTGTGAACACTTTTAATCTTTTCTGCTTTTAGGTCCCTGGTTTTATCCATTCATCACTCTCAGTAGATGGGCTTTGTAGCTCCTCAGGCCTGGGTCTGACTGCTGACCCTATGACCTACTAATCATTTAGGTCAATTAACCTTTTTGCATCCAGGATTCAGATGAAGACTGAATGAGCTTAATCTGTGTTAAGACCTAGCGTTGTGCATCTGGTAATGAATAACTCATAATAGTTAAATTTTATTGTATTCTTAACTAAGCACCAGGCACTGCACAGAGTACTTCATATGCATGATTTCACTTAATCTACACAACAGAACTATTCATCAGTATTAGGGTTGTCCTCCCTTCCCAAATGAGGACACTGAGATTTAAAGAGGTTAATGTACCTTTTTCACAAAACCAAGCTAATAGGTGGCTGAATTGGGATTCAAACCTAGTTCGTCTGAATCTGAAGTGCGTGCACTTAACCTTTACAGTTATGCTGTTGAATGTATTTTAGGTGCTCAGTAAATATGAGTTCCTTTCCTCTTTTTGCTTTTAACTTTCATCCCTGTCATTCCCCAGGATCTGTTTCTGTATCTTTTTAGCTCACCTTCTGTCTTAGAGAAAAAGACTTTCTTCACCTTTAGTCGTTGCACGTCTGCTCTCCGTGCTCTCCTACCGTTAGGCACCCTCTATTCTTGCTTCTCCTGGGCTGTTTTGATCTATTCTCCATGCACATTTCCCCATTTGGGGTGAGGGGGAAGACCACTTCCTTTCAAAACCACATTTCTCAACAGGCAGATAGTGACTTCTTCCTGTTCATTACCACTCTGTCTTCAATCCTCACAGCCTGGCATTTTCCCCTTCACTAGTCAGGGACACCAGGAGGAGAAGTTTGCAATTTGTCTAGAATAGGAGGAGGGTAATCTTTTCGTCTAAGGCTAGAGGAAGAGAGGAAGGGAATGCTACAGATAAGGGTGAACCAGGAGGAACCCTGGGTAGCTCGCACCGGCTGACCCTCTTTTCTTGTGAAGCAGTAGGCGTGTGTCTCTGCAGGCACTGTGGGGGCCGAGGGACTGGAAGACTCTCTGGGGGCGTAGGAAAGGTTGCTGACCTGGGAGAAGGAGAAGGATTGGTAAAGGCCCGCCAGGGGCAGCAACTTTCTAAGAGCAGCTGGCGTGGTACGTGTGGGGGTAAGGGCCATGTCAACCTCATCCTGAGTCAGCACTCTGCAGGGCTTAATGTCGTTAGGACAAGGGCGTGGGCACAGGAGCCGATGCTTGTCGGGACGCTGGACAGCCGCTTGTGAGGCAGTGGAGGGGAGCAACTAGAGTTGGTACTTGGCAAGTGTGGGACGTTGTGACCCACCGAAATTTGATTTTGAGGTATTCGGCAGGCTTGCCATTCACTTGGTGAAGATTCCTTTAGTTTCTGCTGTTGTCAAGGATTATCAGGAGGAACTGTCTGGCATTATTGAGTGTCTGCTCTCTTTTAAGCAGTTTGCCAAGCACAAGGACACGAAAAATGGAACAAGATACAGTGTCTGTTCTCAAAGAGCTTATCATTTATAGGAGAAATTCACATGAACATTTGATAACGCGTAAAACGTCTTCGTCTACATAGAGATGTGCGGGGGAATGGGAGCAGAGAGCAGAGATTTGAATCCTTGGGCACACCTTGCTCTTTTCACTTCTGCTTCCTTGCTTCTCATGACTAGTGAGCTCTTTGGACAAATTACCTGCATAGTGATATTTATGAGAGGAGATCCAAAAAAACTAGAATTGTCTTCTGGAGGGCTGGCCCCTTGTAGTACAGGCTTCCTCCACCAGGTGAGTGTTCCAGGAGCCCGTCTGTATCAGTGTACTGGCTGGTGGTGTTGTGAGGGGCTGTGGTCAGCTTCAGTGAATTTTTTTGAAAACTCTTTCAATGCATTTGCCCGTTTCATGATGGTGATTTATGAGCGCACTGAGTGTTCAGCAGTTTTTGACCAAAAATGGCACGACCCCTATGCCCAGCCTTTCCTATGCACCCAAGCTTGCCCCAGTGATTTTTTGTTTCCCCAGATGAAAAAAGTCCTCATTGTGGAAGAGGTGAAACAAAAAAACAATAGGGACTTTAAAAGGCATCAAAATTGACAAGTTCAAAAACTGTTTTGAGCAGTGGAAAAAAGTTCATGATAGGTATATTGCATCAAATGGAAAGTACTTTGAAGGTGATTGAAGTTTAAACATAAGAATAAACCCCAGCTGGTGTGGCTCAGTGGATTGAGTACTGGCCTGTGAACCAAAGGTCACTGGTTCAATTCCCAGTCAGGGCACATGCCTGGGTTGCGGGCCAGGTCCCCAGCTCGGGATGTGCTGTTTCTCTTTCTCTCTCCCTCCTCCTCTCTCTGAAAATAAACAAATAAAATATTGTTTAAAAAAAGAATAAATATACAACTTTTTTATAAATAAAGTCCAGGTTTTGGGGGGTCCTCCCTTGTATAGCCGAGGAACTTTTATAAATTTTTATAAATTTATTAATGTCTCTTTGTCCCCAGGTGGAAGAAGCTGGGCAGGTGTTCCTGTTGATGAAAAAGGATTATCGAATCTCCCGGAATGTTCGCCTGGCTTGGTTCCTCAATCACCTGCATCAAACCGTGCAGGCCACGCCCCAGGAGATGCTGGTGAGGCCCAGAGACACACAGGATGCAAGGGGCTGGCTCAGAATATCGGTTTCTTTAAAAGAGGGACTGGAAAGCGACAGTAGGGGAGACTAACTCTGGGAGGGGCAAGTGACTCTGCCCGAAAGATGATTCCACGGGGGAAATTTTGTTTCATAATTTCCCATATAGGAAGAATATGTGTTGGGTTGCGGGAGGTGGAGCCAATGGTGTGTCATTTTGGATATGGAAGTGCAGGTCCTGGCAAGAAAGGGGGACTCCTCCCTGACTCTTTCCTCTTCTCTTCATCCTAATTGTCAGCTTCAGTCTGAGCAGGAGCTGGAAGTCCTCAGTGTCCTGCCCCCCGGGTGGCAGCCAGATGAACCAGTGGTCCCAAGGCCATTTCTCCTTGTACCTTCCACCCGGGTCACCTTCTTGGCTTGGCAGTATCGATTTGTCATTGAGCTGGACCTTAGCCCATCTACTGGCATTGTGGTAAGGGGCTGTGGGGAGACAGTGGGGGAAAGGATGGGTTGGGGTGAGGAGGAGAGGGAAAGGCTTGGGAGAAAATGAAAAGTGGTCTCAGCCAACCACTGTGGAAAGGAGGCGGGCTGTTCAGGAACGGTGGGAGTGTAAAGACAGACCCCACTCCTGTGGCAGCCCTGTACTTGCAGTGGTGCTCCGCCTGCTGATGAGTCCCACTGACCCACTGGAGATGCTTGTTTCTGCCCTCTGCTCAGGGTTGCCTTTGCTTACTCTTGAGAGATCTTTCTGTGCATTGTCCTCAGGACGACTCCACAGGGGAGATCTTGTTCGATGAAGTTTTCCATGCCCTCTCCCGCTGCCTGGGGGGTCTACTTCAGCCCCTCCGAGTGCCTGGCTCGTGCATCAACTTCCAGCCTGAGATCTACGTGACTATCCAGGCCTACTCCTCAATTATCGGCCTGCAGTCCCACCAGGTATTGCGTCCTGTCTCCGAGTCCGGACCCTCAGACCCCACTTCTAATAGTCCTGTGCCCAAGTCCTTGCCCTGTCTCTGCTGCCTGTGCCCAAAGTCCACAGCTCTGCTGGCTTCTTAAATCTGATAGATTTAGTCATCTCTTTGAGTCTCTCTCCTCTTGAAAGGAATCAGTTCCTCTGGTCTTAGAGAGCCTTGCCATAAGCTTTGGGTCAGTCAGATGGCACTGATTGGACAAATTCCTCTCTCACTCCTCCTGTGTGTCTCTGGTCCTGTCCACCAGACGTCTGTTTTCTCAGTTTGTTTCTCTCCCTCCCCGCACCCTGCCTTCAGTTCCATCAGGTTGGCTGGTGTCCTGGCTCCTGGCACTAACCCCCAGAAGATGGTCTTCAGGAATAGTTTTGTGATTTTGAAATATAACAGATACCCCAAAAACCTAATTTCTTCCATGGACAGAGGCAGTCATTTTCTCTGAGTGTCCTGTGAATCGTCAGGTGGAATGCTGACCATATAGATAATTACACACCCAAGCAGGTTATCACAAGGCACTCCTTTTGAACAATGGCCAAGTCTGTTACTAGAATATCTATCTTCGACTTAGATAAACATGGCCCAGTTTCCCCTCATCTGCTCTTAACCACCCTCAACTCATTGGTAGGGGCTTACCCTGAACTCTCCCTGATGGCTACATTGTCACCTTAGCTATCAAACTGGTTTTGAAAGACAGGGATGTATGGAAAAGCATCTGAGGGTCAGAAATATACAACAAGGTGCTTGGTGCACACCTGAATCCCAGCCCTCCACCTTGGATTAAAGTGCTCTCCTAGTGCAGCTGTTAGGACTGCTGGTGTGGGCTCCATCCCCAGATAGAGTCCAGGCTCTGTAGGGGTGTTGATAGCCAAGGCAGGAAAACGTGGGTGTTGGGTAATCACTCAACATTTGGTTGGGTTTGGCAAACACTTACTGAAGCCTAATCTATGCCAGGCTTGGGCTAGCTCCTGGAGACGTAGATGAATCAGACGCCGTCCCTATCCTGATGGGAGGAGTTGAGAGTTTAGTGGGGGAAACTGATATTGAAGGAGGGAATTTCAGTTGAATGTGATAAGGACACTGGTAAGGTATGACTCAGGGGCTAAGGGAGCACTGTGAGGGAGTGTATCCGGCCAAGTCTGGGGCAGAGACAAGCGAAACCTTGGGACAAAGAGGCATTCGAACTGTGTCTTTTTAAAGGAAGAATTGAAGTTAACTATTCAGAGACAGGGAAATAGGCTTTCCAGGCAGAGGGACCAGCAAAAGCAAAGACACAGAGCTATGAAACTGTTCTAGGGTATTACTCAGTTTGACACAGTTGAATTTGATGGTGGAGGTGGGGTGGTAAAGAGAAGACTGAAGAGATGAGTGGGGACAGGATTATGAAAGACCTTGAATGTCATGGCTAAGAACTTGTACTTTATTCTGTTGGGGAGTTTAATGTGGTGGTGGAGAACGTTGGATCTGGAATCACGTTGCTTGTATTTGCTTCCTGGCTCTACCACTTATTGGCTGTGTGCCCTTCGGCAAGTTTCTAAACCCCTTCATGCATCTGTATCTTCTGTTCAAAGAGGGGATAGTAACAGTACCAATATTATGTGGTGATTGAATCAGTACGTGTCCAGCACTTAAAGCAGCGCCTGCCGCATAGAGAACATGTAAATGAAAACCATTAGCCTTAGGTAGTAGGGAACCTTTGAAGGTTTTAAATGGATGGTAATAGGATCAGATTTGTACACTAGAAGATCACACTTGTTTGTAGCCAATGAGGAAGATGGATTAGGGGACAAATTCTGGATTAGGAAGAACAGATTATTAGCACATGGGAGAGGGGATGGGCCTGAACAAGGACTGCAGCTGTGGAGCGCAGAGGGCTTCCCACGGGCCACATGGTCCTGAGCCAGCTTCCTCACTGTCTCTATAGCTCCCTAAAGATGTGTCTTGTTGCTTTAGAAAAGAAAAGGAAAAAGAAGTTAAAGATCACTTTATTATACATGTCCATTGAAGGAGATTTGAAAAATACATAGAATTAAAAGAAAAGCAAAACCCACCCATAATATAGCACCCAGAATAACTACTATTAACATTTTACGTTATTTCCTCGTCTTTTTTTTTTTTTAATTTTATTTATTTATCTTTAGAGAGGGAGAGAAACATCAATGTATGGTTGCCTTTTGTGCATCCCCTGCTGGAAACTGGCCTGCAGAGAAACAGCCTGCAACCCAGGCATGTGCCCTGACTGGGAATCGAACCACGATTGTCTGCTTCATAGGCCCGCGCTCAATCCACTGAGCTACACCAGCCAGGGCTCCTCCTCCTTGTCTTTGAGGATGTGTTTCCCCTCCCTCATTACCACCCCTTATCTAAGTAAAGGAGGACCATCGGACACACTGCAGACACACACTTTTACGTCCTGCTTTTCTAAGGCTGATGTGGTTGTTTTTCCATGTTACTAAATATTCTTTAGGAACATGACTTTTAATGACTGTTTATCATAGTTTATCATTATGTAGTTAACCAAACCTTTGTTGTTGGATCCTTAGGTTGACCCAGTTTTCACCCAGTATAAAAAGGTGTGAACATCTTTCACACCTTTTTCTAGTCTTCTGATTCTGTTTTGCTTCTCACACTCTGGACCGTAGAGTGGTACAGGGTCCCCCCTCCCCTCTCTTAGCTGTGCCCACCACTCCCCCAGTTCTGAAAAGAGAGCAAAGGGGTAGGTTGCACAGGAGGGTCCAGCTGAGAAGTGGTGTTTGAGGCAGGTCGAGGGAGAGGAAGAGAAGATATCCTGAGGGCCACCAACAGGCCTATGTAACGTTTTCGGGATGGGGCACTTATTTATGTTGGAAGCAGAAGGAAAGAAACCCTATGGAGAAAGAATGAAAATATTAGAGAAAAGATCCAAGATTAGATGAAGAGATTAGCTTTAGGGAAAACGAGGAGGAGAAATCTCTTCTTCAGAGCCTAGAAGGAAGCACAAGAACACAGACATAAACGTCCAGCAAGCACTGAGGATGTTTCCGTGGGTGGGCGAGTAGTAACACCCTCCCGGTTAGGGTGAGCTGGGAATTCCTGACGACACATCTGAGGGGGGAGTTATCACTGAAAGTAAATGGAAGGAAGGAGCATTCATTGGGAAAATAACATTTTGAACTTCAAAAAGAGAAGTGTTACACGCAGTCTCTGAGTGCAGTGCTTAGAAATCAATACGAATACAAAAATATGAGTTAGAATGAAAAAGGTTGCCAGGATGGGGTGGGCCAACTTATGGATAAAGTCTGGTAGCCCAAGTGGAGGGAACTGGAAGCTTTTTTGGTGCCCCCATGCAGGGACCTGAGGAAACGCAGTGTTGGGGACTGTAGCAGAGGAAGGCTGTGACCCAGATAGAGACAACTGATGACCTGGGGACATTGAGCAGGAATACCTGGGCTGGGGACCGATGGCGTAGATGATCTGATGAGGGAGGAACCGGCCGTGGAATTAGCTTGCTTGGGTGAGAAGTCAGGATTGCCTAAAGGGAGAATAAAGGAGGCAACCAGGAGGGGTCTTGCCCAGTGTCCCCCGACCTTCATGCCTTGGTCTTTCCCTTGTACTTTTCAGGTGCTGGTCCAGGGCTGCCTTTTGGACCCTTCCCAGCGGGAAGTGTTCCTGCAGCAGGTGTATGAGCAGCTCTGCCTCTTTGAGGATAAGGTGGCCACCATGCTGCAGCAGCAGTATGATCCTGCGAGCCAGGTGTGTTGGAGACAAAGTAGGTAGAGGCTGTTTAGAAGAGGAGCTGTTGAGGTTCAGAAGGGAGAGAGGAGGGACAAGCCTAATACAGAGGGGGAAGAAGGTAGAAAAAAGGACTAAGAGCCAGAGGCAGAGCGAGCCAGGAATAGAAGTGCTGGTGAGGGCACACGACAGGTCCCCTGTTGGGAAGAGGACTTGGCTACTCTTCCCAAGACACAAATTCTTGCTGGGAGAAAATGTGAAGGCTGCTTGCCTGTGTTTTAGTCCAGGATCTTTTCCCTCAAGGAATCTGAGAAGGTGATCATGGGTGGCTTTGGTCTCTAAATAGTATTTTGTACAATCAGGGATTAAGTTCCCTGGGCTCACTAGAATGCAGTCTCATTCCTTTCAATATCCTAGAAATAGGCAGGTGGCAGTGCTGTGTATCTGAAACACGGTTTCATTGATGTGTGAAATACTTGATAATGGCAGTGGGAAAATGTAGAAAGGGGGCTTTATTGACAAAAGGTGGGGAAGCCCTGCTTCAGTCCAGTCCAGTGCTTCCCACGGTGCTGGGCCCCCTGCCTGTTAGAGGGTCAGTGTCTGAACATGCACTGGGGCAGGGAGCACCGTCAGGGCTCTGCTACAGAGTCGGGGGGTTGGGGTCCTCACAGGATTGGGGCTGTCTGGCCTGGGAAATGCTGCTGTAAATTCAGGCTTTGCTGTGGATGTGGCAATGTCGTTGGTCCCATTCTGTTTTTTCCATAACTTGGGTCAGGCAGAAGACCAGTCTCCAGACTCAGGGGAGCCCCCTGGCCGGAAGATGGGCGTCTCCATGGTGACTGCTGATCTTGGGCTGGTCAGTATGATTCGTCAGGGCATCTTGGCGCTGCAGTTGCTTCCCTCAAACTCTAGTGCAGGTCAGTAGAAGGAATGTTGGTGGGATTGGGATTTGAGAAGGGTGCTGGGAGCATTATCAGCAAAGCTAGATTCTAGGAGATTCGTAGGCACCAGGGGAGAGGATCTGATCTGCCTTCTCATTTGTTAGAGTGAAGTGAGTGTTCATGGTTATCTCCAGTACCCACAGCTCTGACAACTGTCAGGGGTCCTAGTGGGAAGGAATAGCACTCCAAGGGCATCTCTTAGGAGGAGATTAGGCTCCAGCACTCAGGAGAAGCCGGAGGGTAAGGGAGAGGAAAGATGTCTGAGGATTAAGTACATTTGTCGGCAGACACTGAGGTATTTGGGGCTCCATCAGTTGAGTGCCTGATTTGGCAGGTCAGCATTCTGGGTCTGAGTCTGCTGTCTCCTACTGCAGGTATCATCGTGATCACAGACGGGGTGACCAGCATCCCTGATGTTGCTGTCTGTGAGACCTTGCTGAACCAGCTTCGCAGTGGCACCGTGGCTTGCTCCTTCGTCCAGGTGAGCACTTTCCAGGGTGGAGGAGAGAGAAGTGTGGCATCTCACAAGCAGAATGTGGTTAGTTATTTTTTTACAGGTGATGATTTCCCAGGTAGAGCCATAGCTGAATTGTGTGTATGGTGGGGAGAGATGTCACATATAGGATGGGGTACGTGGCAGTGGTGGGAGAGGACTCTTGTCTTTGTCCTCTTTCCGTAGGATGTGGGAGAGAGCATATTATTATAAAAAGAATGCAGAATTGGAACTCCGGCAGTTAGCGCCCATCCCGTTTGATTAGTTATTACTGTTTTGTTTGCAAGGGTCAGAAAACCCAGTTCAAACTAGCTTAAGCAAAGGAGGCAAGTGGTATATTGGGGAAGCTGCAGTCAGTTGGGGTGATGGACTGCGGAGGAGGAGGCAGAGAGCAGTGGGAATCAAGGCTGGAGGGCAGGCCTGGGCTAGAGCATGAAAGGCTGGTTCTGCTGTATTAAGAAGTTTCAGCGTAATTCTGTACGTAGCGCAGATAAGCAGAAGGAAAGTCACTAGTTGGTTTGGGTATTATAAAGGTCATGCTTGATGCTGGGTAAAGGGCAGGAATGGAGGCAAGAAGAATATTAACTGCAGCGGTCAGGTGGGAGAGGAGCAGGGCTTAAATTAGGGGAATTAGGGTAAGAGAAGGGGGTGGGGGTGGGAAAATGAAGGGGCAGAATCAGTATGACTTACTGTTATGACGTAGGAGGTGAGGGATGAGGGAGAAGGTAGAGCTAAGGATGTCTCCAAGTTTCTGACTTCAGTGAAGACTGAGTAGCCTGCAGAGCAAACAGGAAGAGAAGCGGTTGGGGTACAGTTAGCACAAGGCGATGAACCCAGGTGTATGCGTGCTGCACTCGATAGATCAACAGGAGAGCCCTTGGGAACGTGGCCTGGAGTCAGGCGTGCCCAGCCCAAAACCTGGCTCCGCTTATTAACTGTGTGGCGCTGGACACGTCACTTCACTTCTTGGTGGGATTTATTTGTAGATGGAGATTATAATAGTCCCTACCTCACTGGGTGAGAGGATGCATTTAAAGTGCTTAATGTAGTGCATAATTACTTAATAAATGGCTGCTATTCATAGCAGTTAGCAGTTGGATATGCAGATCTGATACTGAGGAGACAGCGCTAGTTGAGAGAGGGCTAGGTTTTGTCAGCCTACACATGATAACTGAGTAGAAAAGAGGGTCCCTGAAGAACCTGGGGGAACTTTAGTGTTTAAAGGTCTTTCATAGGCAGAGGGATCTGCATGCAGTGAAGGGAATATTCAGATGAGAACCAGGAGATTCTGGTGTCAGAGTTTAGAGCTTGGGGAAGAAAGGAGTAGTTAGCTGTATAACATGAGGACTGAAAAGTGCCCTTTGGACTTGGTGGTTAGCAGCTCACGGGGATCTTTTCTGGCCATTACAGTGAGGTGGTGGTGAGGGAATGATCGCAGCGGGTTGAGGAGTGGGTAGACGAGAAGGAAGTGGGGACAGTGTTGACACAAGGCATTTGGTTGGTCCTCAAGTGGGGAGCGAGAGAGAATGGTAGCCAGAGGGAAGTACAGGGTGGAAGGAAAGTGGTGTTTTTCTGTTTTGTCTTGTTTTGCTTGTTAAGCTAGAGACTTAAACATGTTTCTAAGGATCCATGATGAAGCAGAGCTTGAAAATAAGGGAAAGAAAAGGAAGCCTGATGAAGTGAAGTCCCTAAATTGGATGGGGGTTGGGGCAGGCAGTTGGCTTAAGAAACAGATTGAGGAGCAGGAGAGGGTCCCATCTGTCTTTGAGACCAGAAGGACAGGAGTGAAGATGCAGGTAAATTCTCCCGAGTGCCTGTGGTTTCTCTCCGAAGTACAAGGTGAAGATGAGTGTTGGAAGAGTGGCTGGAGCTGGGATGCAGGCGCTGTATTGAGGACAGCGTTGGAAGACCAGCGGGGTCGGGTGTCACACATTGTGATGTCATGTCAGCCTGCACAACTGCATGTTTTTCTCCATTTGGGATCCATTGGAATCCCACTGAGGGATATAGATCCTAGTTCAGTTTTCGAGGTGGACGCAGAAAAAAGGTGAAGAGGGCCAGGGAATTGAAAGTGGACATAGGGTCCCAGCCGGGTTGAGAAAGGAGGACTAGGAGCTGCTGGTATACTTAGGGAGAGCAGAGGTGCAAGGCCTGACAGTCTTGTTAAGGTCAAAGAGCAGCAGGAAGAGGAAGATGGAAGGAACATGAAGGGCTGTGGTTGTGTAAGCAGTGGAATGTGGGAACTGAAATTGCAAAGATAAATACAGCCGCCTGTCCTTGTCCACGGAGCATATGTTCCAAGATCCCCGATGGATGCCTGAAACCAGGGGTGGTACCGGACCCTATAAGTAGCATGTTTTTTCCTGTATGTGCAAACCTTTTGAGTTAAAGTACCTTACAGCTTCTCCTTGGTACCTCTGAATTGCTGGCATCACTGCTCTTGAGCTTTGGGTCCATTATTAAGGAAGATAAGGGTGACCTGAACACACGGGCTTCAGTACTGAGACAGTCGACCCGACTGCTGATCTGGTAACAGTGACAGCTACTAGGAGACTCACGGGCGGGTGGTGTGTCCAGCATGGATGGGCTGGACACAGGGATTGTCACGTCCTGGGTGGGGTGGAGCGAGGCTTCATCACACTACTCAGAGCAGCACACACACAATTTAAAATTGAAGAATCGTTCATTTCTGAAATTTTCCAGTTACTATTTTCAGAACGTGGCTGACTGGGTAACCAAAACTGCAGAAAGCAGAACCGCAGAAAAGGGCGACTGCACCTTCAGGTACAGGGCCAGCGCGGCCAGCAGGCCGCAAGTGGAGTCAGGAAAATCCCGGGAGACGAGAGCTAACAAACCGAGGGCCCAGAGGACTGAGCGAATCCTCTGGAGTGGTCTGCGCTCGTTTTCTGTGAAGGACCAGCTGGTCGGTGTTTTGGGCTTCACAGGCCGGAGCGTTGTCACAGCTACTTAGCGTTGATCTTGTAGTGTGACAGCAGCTGTGCACAGTGTGACGATGAGCGGGTGTGGCCGTGTTCCAGCAACACTTTATTTACAAAAGTAGGTACTGGGCTAAATTTGGCCCACAGTTACATTTAGTTTGCCAGTCTCTGATCCACAACCTTGATGCTCACAGTATGGTCCACAGTCCAGCAGGACTGGCATCCCAGGGAAGTTGTTATAAATGCAGACTTTTAGGCCCAATTCCAGACCTGCTGCATTTATACAAAATCCCCGGGGTGTTTTGGTATGCACCCCAAACTTTGAGAAGCACTTTGTTAGGGAGACACTAGTTTCTGGGGATGATGACCAAAAGCTAGTGAACCAGTTGCCAAAATCCTTAATGAGTGGGGCAGGCTGGTGGTTGATGAACAGAGAAGGTCCGACCAGATGGCACAGGAGTTTGGCAGGAGGGCTCAGGGAGGGAAGCTGCAGCGATCTGTCCTGGCAGGACGCTGGCCCACTTCCCACTCTGGACCAGAGGGTGGGGGCAGCCACCAGCGCAGCCTCTTCTGCTCTTGGACTTCCTTCTCCGGTGCCTTTTTGAGTGAGGTCGCCAATGGCTCACTCTCTTCAGGTGGGAGGAGTTTACTCGTATGACTGCAGTTTTGGCCACGTGCCCAATGTGGAACTGATGAAGTTCATCGCAATGGCAACATTTGGCTCCTACCTGTCCACTTGTCCGGAGCCCAAGCCAGGCACCCTGGGTCTGACCGTCTACCACCGGGCATTTCTCCTCTACTCCTTCCTGCGCAGTGGGGAGGCCCTGAACCCTGAGTACTACTGCGGTGAGAAGCAGACCGGGACAGGGGTGGGGACGCAGGGGTGGGAATGCGCTAAGATGATACTGGGGTCTCTCTGGGGTTTGGGTCCTTGGGGGACTGAAAGTGTAACCGTGACCAGCTACTCTGGCACTGTTCTCTCCCCATGATTTAGGCACGGCCCCTCCCCCACACCTCTCCCCGGTAACAGGTAACCACTGTCCCCTTCCCCATCCTCACTAGGCTCTCAGCACCGCCTATTTAACGAGCACCTGGTCTCCGCCAGCAGCAACCCTGCCCTGGCCCTGCGACGGAAGAAGCACACTGAGAAGGAGGTGCCAGCCGACCTGGTCAGCACCGTGTCTGTGCGGCTTCGGGAGGGCTACAGTGTCCGAGAGGTCATGCTAGCCAAAGGTAAGGGTCACAAGGCCCTGCTGCAGCCCACAGATCTCTCAGGCTTTGCGTGTGGCAGGACCTGCTGAACACAGCAGGAGACTCGTGTATCACACACCAAAGTATCACAGTGAGAGATTTCGCTTGTCATTTGAGACAGGCGGCTTCTGAGCGGCCTGCAGGGCTTAGTTCTCTTAGGTTTATCTGCCCACTTCTATCTCCTTCTGCCCAAGGTGAGTCACCTGAGAGTGGAGTGGTCTCTTGAACTTGGCTTTGTTTCAGATTACTGCAAAATTCTGTTTGTGTCAGTTGGCAGGCCGTGGGCCTGAAATCTGTGGAACCACGCTTGGAACTTTGGGCCAGGCTAGAGTTCCACGAGGTAGGTGGGTTCAGACGGGGCTCAGCCCCAGGCCCGGAGTCCTCCGCCTGCGCCTCCTAACGAGCCCTCCTGCTTCCCCCGAAGGAGGGTCCCAGCTGGAGGTGAAGCTGGTGCTCCTGTGGAAACACAACATGCACATTGAGTATGTGGCTGTGGCGCCCTGGCCCCTGGAGCCTGAGGGCCCCCGAGGAACACGGGTGGAAGTGACCATGGAAGGTGGCTATGACATTTTACATGATGTGTCCTGTGCGCTAAGGCAACCCATTCGCTCGCTGTATCGTACTCATGTTATCCGGCGGTTCTGGAACACACTGCAGAGGTGAGTGAGGCCACCACTCAGTCGGTGACACTGCCCATCTGTTGTGTAGAAGGACAGATATGTGCAGCTTAGAGCTGAAGAGAGTCACCTTGAGCACCAGGCTTGTGTCCAGGGTCCCTTGTCCCCCTGGGGCTCCCTTCTTCTGTACCCACCAGTCAGGTGTGGCTCAAGATTGGTCCTTGCCCTGCAGCATTAACCAGACGGACCAGATGCTAGCGCACCTTCAGTCCTTCTCCTCCGTCCCGGAACATTTCACGCTTCCGGACAGCACCAAGAGCGGAGTGCCCCTCTTCTACATCCCTCCTGGCTCCACCACCCCGGTGAGTGGCTCCGGTGCCCGTCACCCCATGTTGTGCCCGCCCAGGCTTGGACTGGCACAGCATCTGCAGGCCACCTGCTTTTCCCTCCCTCTCAAGTCCAAGTCCTCCAAACCAGAACCCTTTAGCCCCGAGAGCAATTGTCCCAGCCCTGGGAGTGGGGAAGGATCTGCAGGGAGAGGCTGGCTATCCTCACCTCGATGTCAGAGGTAAACACAGAATGTCTAGGTAGTGGTACCCCAGCCCACTGTGAGCCTCCTCGCCCTACCCCCATCTGGCATACTCTGGCCTCCCCCCCCGCCACCTTTGCCCTTTTCCCACCCTTAACAGCCACCGTGAACTGTGCACTTCCCGAAGGCCACAGCTTCCCTTGTCCTGTGTGTGCTTCACACCCGGCCTGCCGTCAGCCTGGCTTTGGTAGGCTGTGGGGCTTATGTTAGTGATCAGTGGCTTCCTCTTGAGGTCCTGCCACCACTCAGTGGCTTTGCTCAAAAATCAGTGACAGAAGTGTGACAAGTCTCAGCCTTTGCCTGGAGTTAGCTTTAAAAGACTACACAGTCTGTCCCTGGGCTCATTCATTCTAATCTAGCCTTAATATTGGAGGCAATTTTTGCCTCCAGCCCAGGCTGGGGTATGGGTTCCTTTGGCCTTAAGCCACTGCCACCTCTGAACCCCACGGTTCTGGGCACCGTCTGGAGGCTGTACCCTGCTTCTCCGTGAATGCTGCAGCAGAGCGCTCCTCCCCACCCCCAGGTGCTCTCCCTTCAGCACAGTGGGTCCGACTCCTCTCATGCCCAGTTTGCGGCCTACTGGAAGCCAGTGCTGTCCATGGATGCAAATTCTTGGCAGCGTTGGCTGCACATGCACCGCCTAGTGCTAATCCTGGAGCACGACACGTGAGTATCCTCTTAGGGCCACAGTTGGGATGGAGGATGGGGGTGATGGGACAGCAAGTGATGGGGAAGGGGAACAGCAGATGAGCCCTTAGTAACCTTGGCCAAGAAAAACTGTGACCCTCTCTTCCTGCTCCTTAGCCCCCATATACTCAAACAGGTCCTAGAAAAGGTAGCAATCTATTCTTTTCCCCCAGAGATTAGAGCTGTTGCGTCTCACCTCAGTGCTTACCCCTTTTCTCAGACCAATCCCCAAGCATTTGCACACCCCGGGCAGCAATGGACGCTACAGTACTGTCCAGTGCAGGATCTCACATTCCTCGCTGACCTCTCTGCTTCGGGACTGGAGCAGCTTCGTGCTGGTCGAGGGCTATTCCTACGTGAAGCTGCTCTCCAGGTGGGCAAAGCGATGTCCCCTCACTCTTCCTCCAGCACCTCAGCTCGTCACGTCTCTTCCTCTAAGCCCAGACTGCATCCCTACTTCCTCCTAAACTCATTACGGCCAACCTAGGGCTGTTCTCTGACTTCCATTTCTTCCCAGTGCCCCAGACCAACCCCCTTCCTCCTTCTACATGGTCCGCATCATCTCCAAGGCGCCATGCATGGTTCTTCGCCTGGGTTTTCCCATCGGCACACCAGCACAGGCCCGGCACAAGGTGAGCTGGGCCCTGACTGACTCCCAGCCCCGGGAGCCTGGAGTGTAGGCTGTTGCCTTCTCCACTAACCCACAGGCTAGGGCTACAGCCAGTAGAGAGAGGAGCCCCCAGATTAAGTAAGGCTCCCTCGCCTCATCTGTGAGCCCCTTCTCCCAGATCTGTAGGAGGTGGAAGTAGGAGAATCTGATCTCATTTTCCCCGCAGATTGTGTCAGGCTTACAGGAGGAGATCCTGCGGCTGCGGTTCCCCCACCGGGTACAAAGCAAGGAGCCAACACCCAAGGTGAAACGAAAAGGGCTGGGAAGCATCGGTGGGGGCAGCTCTCCCTCCAAGTCTCCCCCTCTGCTGGGGCCACAGCAGGCCCTCTCTGACCGGCCCTGCCTCGTGGTCCTGCATAAGCCACTGGACAAGCTACTCATCAGGTTGGTACAAAGGGTGCGGTTAGGGCCAGGAGCATATGGGAGGGCTGTGGCTTAGCTGGATATAAATAGCAGTCAACTGGGAGTTGCTCCTGTTTCCCAGGTATGAGAAGCTACCCCTGGACTACCGGGCACCTTTCTTGCTGACACTGGAGCCACCAGGGCCACTACCCTTGGTGTCGGGCCGCTCAGCCTCTTCTAGCCTAGCATCGCTGTCCCGCTACCTCTACCATCAGCGCTGGCTCTGGAGTGTCCCATCGGGACTGGCCCCTGCACTGCCACTCAGCGCCATTGCCCAGCTCCTCTCCATCCTCACTGAGTACGTCACCCGAGGCTGGCAGAAAGCCTACGCCAGAGACTGCCCCTATCTGAGCTGTTACGCAAAGGGTCCAGCACAGAGCAAGGCCCGTTACTGCCTTCCCCTCTCTTCCCTCCACTCTGCTTGTTCAGGCCTCTGGTCCTAATTAGACCTGTTACATTCGAGGGACCACTGGTGTTAGCAGGGCCACACCAGCACTCAGGTCTGCCTGGATGGCCACTGGAAGGTGGGTGCATAAGTGGCACGGGGGTCAGGGACGTACTCTGACCGTCTCTCTTCTGTCTCATCCTGTCCCTGCCCCCACCTCCATGGGGCTTCAGAGTCCGACTCTCTGAAGGGTTCCACTTCGCCTGCAGTGGGGAAGGGATCATCAACATGGTGCTGGAGCTTCCCATTCAGGTAGGTGCTGTCCCTCACGACACCTCCCACCAAGGTGTGTCACCATCCCACAGACACCGACCTCTGGGCTGGGTTGGGACGGCTGGAAACTGCCTCATAGGGAGCCAGGTCCGGAGGCCAGTCCCAGGGCGGTGTGGCAAGGGGACTGGAGTTCCGAGGGTCGGAGCTGGTTGGCGCTAGATCTCTGCTTGGCTGGGGTTTGCCTAGGATCTCCCGTTCCACCTGCAGAACGAGCCCCCAGGGCAGGCCGCGGTGGAAGAACGGCACACGTGTGTCGTCCAGTACATCCTCTTCCCCCCACACTCCACCTCCACCAAGGACAGGTGAGGCCCTGCCGCTCTCTGCTTTCCTCTTCTTCCTCCTCCCTCCTGTCCCCTACAATTCTGTCTTCCACACCTGAGAGAGAGAGAGAGACAGTTGGGCCAGGGGGTGCTTTTAATTTTTTTATCCTCACCCGGACATGCTTATTGATTTTAAAGAGAGGGGAAGGAAGGGAGAGAAAGATCAATGTGTGAGAGAAGCATCGATCTGTTGCCTCTTGCACACACTCTAACCAGGAGCTGAACTCCCAGACCTAGGCATGTGTCCCTACTGGGAATCGAACCTTTCAGTTTATGGGATAGTGCTCCAAACAACTGAGCCACAGTGGCCAGGGCATGGGGTGCTGTTTTTCGGTGCTTCGTCAGGCCAGGGGCAGGTTTGGGGAGGGTGACTTATAGCCGTCTCATGCACCGACTGCCTTCCTGCCCTCCATGGTCTGGCTCTAGCCATGGGGGTGTGGATTGGACTCCCCTCCTTACTCCCTGCTCAGGGCCCTTCCTGCTTTAGTTTTTCAACAGACGATGACAATGATGTGGAGGTGGAGGCCCTGGAGGGAGACTCGGAGCTCAATCTGGTCACCGAGGTGTGGGTGGAGCCACAGTGTGGGCGAGTGGGACCCGGCCCTGAGAGCTGGAAGCACCTCCAAAACTTGACGTACTCTGAGATCCCAAAAGCTGTGAGTGACTTCAGCAGCGCCCACATGGCTTACCGGGTTGGGTGCCACCCCTTGGGCAGTATCAGAGCCTTTGGGCTTTCCGACCCCTCTGAATCTGTGTTCTGAGTAGCTGACTGTGGGCTTCCTTGAGAACTGGAGGCCTGGGGCTCTGAGGCTCTGGGGGGGGCTTATTCCTGACCTGTGCTGTACCTCCCCTAGCTCCACCCTCGGGATGCTGCCTGCATAGGCTCCATGCTGAGCTTTGAGTACCTGATACAGCTGTGCCAGAGCAAGGAGTGGAGTCCTCTGCCCCTAGAGCCGAGGGTCTCTGATGGTCAGTGGGGAAGGGGCCCTTGAGGGGAGTGGGTGGGGCCACAGACCAAAAATCTGGTCTCACCATGGATCTTGTTTTCTTCCCTCCCTCTTAGGTTCGGACCAGGGAGGAGACACCTGTGTCCATGAGATCCCTTTTCATTTTGACCTGATGGGACTGTTGCCTCAGTGCCAGCAGCTCCAGATGTTCTTCCTCCTGCTTTCCAGAGGTAGGTGAACTTTGTACCCACTCACCCCACACCTGGAGGGCCTGCGAGCCTGGCTGAATTAGAGCATAGAGAGCAGATGAGTCTGTGAACCAGCAGATGAGTGATGGGGGCCAGAGAAGGTTTGGGAGCTGCAGGAAAGGCCATGCTGGTCAGGGCTGGGCCAGGGCACTGGGCAGCAGGAGGCTCTTGGCGCTGAGCGGAATGTGTGTCGGGCAGAGCCAGAGGGCATCCCTTTCGCCGAGGGGCCTTGTCCCTCCAACGACATGGTGCTGTGCCTGCTGCATAGCTGCCTAGGGCAGGAGCTAAGTGACCGGGAGATCCCACTGAGCACCGCTGACCAGGCTATGTTCCTGAGTGAGGTGCTGCGGCGCACCCACCACAGTCCAGGTAAGCTCCCCATCTCTCTCCAAATACCAGACTCTGGCCCCGCCCCTTCTCCCCCCTCCCCACAAGGTGGTTTCCATCTTTGGGTTTTGGCCTCCCCATCTCTTCACCTCAGAGCCCTGCCTCTCTGCTGGCCCTGCCCTCCACCACTCATCTCTGCCCTCATTGTAGGTCCAGAGGGGCCGCCAGTGGGGGGCCATGGGGTCCTGAAGGATCAGCCAGTCAGCACCGCTCAGGCCGCAGGAGACTCAGCTCTTCCTACCCTGGTCAGCACCAGTTTGTCTCCCTGAGCCCTTTCTCACACGGACCTCCCCCATCACCACGTATCCATACCCTGACTTTGCATCACCACGTATACTAAATGGCTCCTGCCTATGACAGGATACTGTCACTTCCCTTTGTTCTGGGTCTTGCAAGCTATGCCCTCAGGAGTGTCCAGCCCATGGCCTTAGGGCTGCACATGGCCCAGGATGGCTATGAATACGGCCCAACACAAAATTGTAAATTTACTTGAAACCCTTTTTTTGCTCCTCAGTTTTAGTGTTTGTGTATTTAATGCGTGGCCCATACAACTCTTCTTCCAGTGTGGCCCAGAGATGCCCCTGCTGGGTGCGGGCAGGGAGCAGGGCTTGTTTGCTCCTGTACAGATTGCTCTAGTTCTGTTTCTCTCTTGTAGAACGTCGGCCCTCCTGACGCTCTCAAGCCTCTCGCCTCAGCCCAGCCCCCTCAGTGGCGCTGCTATGCAAGGCTTGTGAGCCCTCAGCATGCGTTTCTGACATTCCTCCCAGCTACCTTCTCGGGTACTGACCGCTGACCTTCCTCGCTGGTCCCTCAGAAACCCCCGAGCTCCCTCTCTGAGCTAACAGGCAGCTCTGATTTACGCCTCCCTTTTCCTTTTCAGATGTCCAGCACCTGGCCGCCTATGGCCTAGAGGGACCCTCTCAAGAGGAGACCAAACTCAAGCTCGGAGATTGGAGTGGGGCCTCCAGTCTGAGAGATCTGGGAGGAACTGGGGTCAGGGTTCCAAAGGCCCAGGTCCCTATCCTCAGTGTCACCCCAGCCTGTGGTAAGGCTGCTGACTCTTAAGTCAGTTAAGCAGGAGCAAGAATGGGAACAAATAGAGGGCTGGAAGACCATGCGACACCTCTTCTCACAGACAGTGCCCAGAGTCCAGGAGAGCTGAGCCCACCCTTCCGTCGGGACCTACAGGCTTGCACCGGGCGTCAGGCTCCACAAACAGAGGGTGCAGATGGACCCCGGACACGCTGTCCAGTCTTCATCTACAGCTGTGCCCTGGAAGCGCTGAGGGAACAGATGATTAGCATGCAGCCCCCTCCGGCACCCCGAGACCTCATCTTCCGGTGAGTGCCCTCATTGTTGACCTAGGTCTTCTCCCAGCCAGGGCTCAGGTAACATGCACATGCAGGTGTGGACAGACAGGCTGATGATCGGTTGCAGGGGCTCAGCTGCTTAGCCACGTCCTGCCATCTCCTCACTGGGCCTCCTTCAGCAAGTCAGTTGAACTTGTTGGGTCTTGAATTCAATTGGTGGGGACCTGTAGATGGCCCACTGACATCTGGGTAGATGGGAAGTCCACAGTGTCACTCAGGGAAGTTGGCCAAGCTCCCTCTTTCTTCTCATTCCTAGGACTCAGTTTCTCGACCAGACTGCCCCCTCCTCAGCCTGGACGGAGCCCAGGTCCAAGGAGGCAGCCAACCACTGTGCCTTGCTGCAGGAGCATGCTCAGCGGTGCTATGTCCGTGGTGAGCAGGAGGGCACTGGAGGGGGCATCAGGGAGGAGACAGGATTGTAGGGACGGGGACTGGGGAGGCAGTTCCAGGGTGTGACCCTCGTGGCCCCTTCCACTTCTGCCAGGGTTGTTCCGGAGCTTGCAGCAAGCACAGAGTGTGACCTCCCAGGACTTGCTGATGGCAGTGGATGCCTGTGAGGAGCTACTTCAAGAAGTAGACATCACCCCTTTTCTGCTCACACTCTGTGGATATACCCGGGGTTTGCCTCATGCACCCCCAAGTCCTGGTCCTCTCAGCCCTGGTCCCTTTAGCAGCAGCATCGAGGAGGGCCCTGAGCCCCGGGAACGAGCTATCCTGGCTTCTGAGTCCAGGTTAGGATTGCCCTGGAATGACATAGAAGGGGACACACAGACAAAGTCCTGATAAACTGTCCCAGGGAACAGCTGTCCAAGGTGGCACCCAAGCCCCAGAAAGGCAGTAGTGCTCTGTCTCTGGATTCTGACCTCATGTTTAGACTTCCTCCTCCCATTTGGCTTGGGGAGCAGCCTCCCTCTGGCTCTCCCCATCTCCTGTTCTGGTGTGGAGTATAGAAATAAGTTAGGGCTAGGGAGTTGCCAGTTGATACCAGTGAAAGTAGAAGCTGTTCCGAGGACATTCATATAATAGTGATGATCCCCTGAACGAATGTGAGTTCCACAGAGACAAACACTATATTCTTCCCACTGTTGAGTCCCAGGCTCACCCTTCCTAGAAATAAACACAGATAGGTGTGTGCTGTTTTCAGTTGGGAAGCAGAATCCTTTAGGACTTGGTGGTTCTTAAAACTTTAACACCTGCTACCCCCACTCCAACCACTCAGCATAGAGACCGAGGACCTAAGCGAGCCTGAGTTTCAGAGCACCCGTGTCCCTGGCAACCCAGACCCTGGCCTGGAGATCTCTCTGACAGACGTCTGCCAGCTCAGAGGAGAGGCGCATGATGCCCTCCATAGCCTCATCCAGGTGAGGGTGGAAGAGACGTGGAGTCCTGCCTGTGTGGGGGTTAATGTCTTCTCCTGGCTCGGGGGTGTGTGGGGTCTATCATAGGGTAGGGGATTGTTCTGAGAGGTGGCTGACATTATAGCCTCCTTCCAACTCCAAAACAGGAGAAGTTCCTGGAGGTCAGTGGTCTCCACTTCCGCACAGTGCCCTCCAATCCCCACTACTTCTTCTACTGCCCTCCATCCAGCAGGCGAGAGGTGAGTGGCCTTCTTTACCTTTCTCCTGCCCCGGCCTGGAGCCCCAGAGGTTCCACTTGGCCCACCTGGATTTTCTTGACTCTGGTTCCCTCAGGTCTGGATATGGCTCTTGTCCTGCCTTGGATCCAGTTGTGTGTCTTTTTCTTGTCCAGGATGAGGGCCCCCGGGACACAGTAGACAGAAAAGTCAGTGACCTGGAGTTTTCAGAGGCTGAGTTCCTGGGAGAAGAAGGTTTGTGGGCAAGTGGCTGGAGGTGGGGAAGGGTGGTTCAAGCCAGGACTCAGGGTCCTCCACTGCCAGCCTCTCCAGTTGAGCAGGAGACATGCATCTCTAGGAGACACATCTGCCTGCTGTGTGGTCACTGAGAGTGACCCAGAGCTGGAGGTGGAATACCGCGAGAGCCGTGAACCGGACCAGGAGCCTGCTGGGCTAGACTCCGCCTCGCTGTCAGATGCAGACACCGTGAACCCTGATGAAGACTCCTTCAGTATCCTGGGGGGCGACTCACCCACTGGGCCTGAGAGCTTCGTGCACGACCTGCCTCCGCTCTTCCTGCACCTCACCTGCTCCGTGCGGTTGCGTGGGCAGCACAGCTCAGTGCCCGTGTGCAGCCTGCCCACCTGCCTGGGTGAGTTGGGGGTGCCCAGCGGAGAGCAGCAGGCGCTGGTGCAGCCTGCCCACCTGCCTGGGTGAGTTGGGGGTGCCCAGCAGAGAGCAGCAGGCGCTGGTGCAGCCTGCCCACCTGCCTGGGTGAGTTGGGGGTGCCCAGCGGAGAGCAGCAGGCGCTGGTGCAGCCTGCCTGCCTCTTGCAGGATGTCTTTGGGTACAACTCTTTAACTCTGAGAACTTGGGATCTGGGCTTGTCCCACAGCTCCCGGCAGCATTTAACTTCCCCCCTCTCCCAGGCCAGGTGCTTTCCAGTCTGGAGGGCCCCTTGATCGGGGGCCGAGTGCCCCTGCGGGACCTCAGTGTCACTTTGGATGTCTTTGTGCTGACCTTACCACTAGAAGTGGAGCTTCCCCCGACCTCAGACCCTCAGCACCACCGGTGAGGAAGCAAGTTTGGTGGGGGGGGACCTGGGGCCTTGTGAGGGTAGGGGAGCCATTAAGGAATCTAGGAGTACTTCAGGGCCAAGGACATCTGAAATACTCCAAGAAAGTAATGCTGAGGAAGTCTTGGGAGGAGATTAGTTCCTGACCTTTGACCTTTGCTCCTTGCCCTGTTCAGGTCCACATCTGAGAGCAGTGCTTCATTCCCACGATCTCCAGGGCAACCATCATCTTTAAGGTCAGATGATGGCCTGGGGCCCCCACTGCCACCCCCAGAAGAAGACAGGTATTTCCTTTTCTCTCAGAGTTCCTTGCTTCTTCTCAGTTTTATTTTCTGGAAACCATTGTCTACACCTTTCTTCCAATCAGGCACCCGGGACTATCCAGTTTGGCCACACCCCACAGATTGGCTATTGAGACCACCATGAGTGAGGTGAGGGCCTTCCCTCCCCTGACCTAAGTCACAGCCCCTGGACACTAACTGATACCTTTTCCACCATATCAGTGGGGTGAGGCACCCCCTTTATTGTGGGATCGAAGTGAGGCCTCCCTCGATCTGTGAGGCAGAGTAGCTTATAGAATCTGCTAGTCCGGTCAGCACTGGCGGTGCCCTTGGCCACTTCCTGGATTCCCCTCTGACTGTAGATCCGCTGGTTGCTGGAGGATGAGATGGTGGGGGCACTTCGGAGAGGGGGCGTCCCCCAGAGCCCTGCCCTGCACCGTGCTGCCGCCCACATCCATAGCTCTCCCGGACGCTCCACCTGTCTTCGCCAGACTGTGCCGCTGAGTTTTGTGTTTGGGCCGGAGCGTTCCCTCACACAGTTCAAGGAGGTACGCTGCCCGCAGAACGCTGCCCGCAGAACACTGCCCGCAGAACACTGCCTGGTCACTTCGCACCCACTCTGCCCTGGCCTCCAGAGACGGAGTCGGAAGTCCCTCTCTTGCTTTGAGTCCCTCCAGTTACCTTCCTGCCCACCTCCTCACCTGTCTGCGCCTCACCCCACGCCTGGCAGCCCAGGTGGGGAGAGACCCAGCTCCCGGCCTTGATACTGGCCCACTGAACCTTCGGTGGGTCACTGCCCCTTTTCTACTGCAGCAGTGGAGGCGCTAGTGCCCGCTTCACAAGGTAGTTGTGAGCGTCTGATGAGGACGTGTGGGGTGCCGAGGATAGGGGGCTTCCATGTCTAAATCGGGGCCTTGCCTCCCACTCCTCAGGAGTTCCGTCGCCTCCACCTGCCCGGCCGTGTGCTTCTGGAGGACCCTGACAGTGGCTTCTTCTTTGTGGCAGCTGGCCAACAGCCAGGTGGGTCCCCCAGGGTACCCTCTTCAGTGGCCTGGGCTTGGCACAACCACGAGGATAAGGCTGAAGGCATCGAAGGGGAGGTGAGTTTTTCTGGGCTGACCTGGGAATGGCAGGGGTGGTGATGGGGTGTGTGGGGCCTCTACTCAGTCCTGACTTCCTGTCCTCAGGCTCTGACAGCCAGTCCCCGAGGGCCTGGCTCCCCAGAGGATTCTGAGGGCCCCTCCCTCATCAGTCTGCCCAGCCTGCCACAGGGAGGTAAGAGAGGACTTGGGCAGCAAAGTCTGGGGCCAGCACCCAGAATGTGTACGTCCCTGGACCTGCTTCCCTTTCTGGAAGGCAGTCCTAATTAGGACTGAGAGAGGCTCTGGGCATTTGCTTCCCTTCTGTTCCCAGGGAGCCAGCCTGGGCCCGGCCAAGGACTGAGCCTCGTGTCCAGTCAGGGCAGTGTGGACTCAGACCACCTAGGTAAGCTGTGGCAGCAGGTGAAGGACTCTAGCTGGTGGGCAGTGGACTTAGGGCCACACAGCGAAAAATCTGGGCTGGGGGCATGGGAAGGGACTAACTGGAGGGGCCCATTAAGCCTGATATACTTTGGAGACTCAGATGAGCTCAAAGGTTGGGTTACAACTTCAGCACATTTGACACAGGTTATGATGGTGGCAGCAGTGGCTCTGACAGTGAGGGTCCCAGTGAGACCCTGGGTGAGAAGAGCCCCTTCACATTGCGGACCCTGCCTGGTCCAGCACATCCACAGCCTTCACTCACAAGCGTCCTTGGGCCATGCCTCCCAGACTTCTGGCTCATCGTCCGGATACTGCAGGATCGTGTGGAAGTGTACGCACATGCACGGTGAGTGGAGCCAGGCCCCCACCCTGACTCTGATGTTAGCTTCCTTTCCCTGGTCCCACAGCTTCTCCCTTGAATGTTGTTCAAGGGTTTGGTAGGGGTCTGACTTTTATTCTAAGGTTGAGGGCACCTGACCTCTTCCCACAGATAGCAGCAAATCATGTCACTTCGGCATCTGGTTAAATACTGCTCTAATCATAGGGTGGGGTGGGGCTGAGAAAAAGGAAGGCCGTCATCCTAACAATACAGAAGGTCTGAGAGTAAAGCATAGGTGAGCCGCATGATAGACGCCTCAGTGTGGTACCATATGGAGGCTGGCGAGGCAGGCACGGAGCCCAGGCTTCCAGAATGGCTGCTGAGAATTCCGTCCTTCCGTTTCTCCTCTTGTCCACTTCCGTTTGTTCAGCCCTACTTCCTTTTCATGGTTCCTCTTGGTCCCAGCTCCCATGACCCTCCCTTCACAGTTTCCTCCCTGCAATTCTGTGTCTGATCCATCGCTCCTTCCCAGGAGCCTGACTCGGGAAGATGGAGGGCCAGGAGCCGAGTGTCGCCACCTGCAGCAGCTCCTAGTGAGGCGAGTTGGGGAGATCTGCAGGGAGGTCAACCAGGTAAGGGCAGCCAGCGGCAGGGCTCTCCAGGCGGGATCACAGCTCAGATGAGGAAGGAGTCTCCAGGACCTTGACTTTCAGAGGCTATTGATCCCTCTTTGACCCCCAGTTATTGAGATACTCTTACTCCCCAGACTCGCCACAAACTAGGGAACTGTCCCTAACTCACCCCAGTTCTGTGGGTGCCTCTCGTACCCTCCCGGGTACTGTGAGGTGTGGAGATGTTCCCGCTCACTGCTCTGTACCAGTATTAGGGATAAAATGGTGAGCGAGAGGGAAACCTTGACTCGGGAGCATGTGTCAGGTGGAGGAGACAGACAATGAATGAGTCACACAGATTATTTTCATTACAGTTATGAAGACTTCTACAGTGGAAAAGTAGAGATGGCTCTGAGAGCATACAGTAGGGTCTGACCATCTGCAGCATCAGGGAAAGCTGCTTAGAAATGACTTTTAAGCTGAGACCTGAAGGATGGCAAACACATTCTAGCAAAGAGAAGGGACGTGTTTTCCCAGCTGGGGTCCAGTGCTTGGGCCCTGAGCCCGGTGACTGTCAGACACCGTCTCTGACCCCCCCAGTGATTACTGATGTGATGTTTTTGCCCCCCGACCTCCCCCCCACCCCCCAGTGATAATGGGCATTCTCCGTGGCCTGTGATTACCTTGCACCGCCGCTGCCCATTTACAAGGGGACATTCCAGCTCCCTGACGTCCTGCCCCTTCCCCCAGCGGCTGCTCCTTCAGGACCTTCACGACAGTCATGTGTGCAATTCTCTTCTGGTGGCCGAGAGTGAAGAAGATCTGTGGCGCAGCGAGACCCCCTTCCACTCACGTCAGCGGGCAGCACTGCCCAGCGATGGTGAGGTTCCACCCAGGAGCCTTCCTTTCCCTTATCGAAGACTTTGGTGAGAAGCTGAGGGTGGGATCACTGGGTCACTGGCGCCAAGTAACACTGGGAGAGCAGGAAGGAAAGGACTCAGGGATCACCGGATTCGGCCATTTCAAGTTCATCAGTGACTTCAGTGGGAGTATTTTCACTGTAGAGAGATGGGAATGCAAACTGGAGGAAGTTGGAAGTGAAAGGGTGTTACGTGGCGCGGAGAGTACCCGCCGTATTTGGCTGTGTGTGGCGCATGCCCACGTTTTGTGCATGTTACACACGGGATCATTATACCTATGGTATGTAATCATTATACTCATGTATAATGTGCACCCTTTTTTTCCCCTCAAAAATTTGGGCACATTATACATGGCAAAATGGGGTATTCTTTCAAGAGGCTTGGCAGTGAAGGGAGAGACCAGATAGGGTTGGCAGGACCTAGAGGAAATGGGGGTCAGGGCAGCAGTTTTGAAGTGGAGGCTTGAGGACATTTGTGTCCCACAGCAGAAGAGCCATGAAGTTCCACAGCAGAGGAGAGGTTGGAGAATGCTAGACGGGTCACTGGAGGGGCGCCAGCTGCGACCGGTCTTCCTAAGGGTTTGGCCCGGCCTTGTTTCCCAAAGTGACCGTCTTTCTTCTGCAGGGAAATAGGGCCAAGAAATGGGGGATAGTGAGGGGGCAAGTAGGCCAGTTGACAGCTGAGAGAAGACCAGAGGAGCAGAGCCTGAGGCCTGGTAGGAGGATTTGCCGTCTGATTGGCTGTCCCTCCATACCAGGCAGACACAGGACCCCTTTGGTATTGGTTAGGAAACATGGTAATCTGCTTGGAGTGGTAATTGACATCTCCACGCTTCTGCTTCCTTCTCTTACTCCTGATGACCTCTCACCCCAACTCACAGAGCAGCGATTTTAAAACATACAGTACCTGACTGTTTAGTTGGGGCACTGACCTCTTTTCCTTTGGATTGTCCAAAAAAAAAGGGACAACAGCCAACACAGTAGCCGTCCAGTGTGAATGAATCAAAGTGATATAGGTATCACTTTTTTTGTCAGATCAGAAAATACATTTTTTTGGTGCGCCACAGAATTTTAGTAATTAATTTACATGTGCCAAGAGTTGAAAAAGGTTGAAAATCGCTGTCATAGAGGAAAACCAACTCATGCCATTTCTTTTCAGTTCTCCCTTCTGGTTTAAAAGTAAAATCAGACCACTTATATTTAACATTCTCAGTGAGTCTGAAGACTAACGTTCCTGACAGCTCTGGAGAGCTCCTCTCTCAGCACATCCTGGAGTGTATTTCATATCAAAGCAGAATTCCTGCAATTAGTGGGCTTCCCAGGAACGTTAGTCATCTTCTGCAAACGAGCTGGACAGCCCGGTACTTGCACTTCCCAGTGACTTCCAGCAGCCCGAGATGTTGGAGCAGCAGAAACCAGGCAGAGCTTCCTCTTTTTAAGTCTTCACGTGGCTTTGCTGGAGCCCTTAGCAACCAGCATTCCATTCCAGACGCTGCAGCCCCGTGGGTTTCCTAAGCACTTCTCACATCTCACAGTAGCTTCTCTAGGAAACCAAATTGCCACCATTGGGCCGCTGGAAGGTGCCATGTCAACCTGGGAACCCAGAAAGGCCCTGACAAGGCACTGGACTGTGTCTGTGTGCCCTCGCATACTGCCACGCCACCCTTTGGGGTCTTTGGGGTAGTTTTCCTCCAGAGCATGGGACACAGTCTTCCCCACTCTGCAGCAGGTCTGTATAAGCAGTCATACTTTTTTGTTTTAAGGAGTTATTGTTGCAACTCCCAAAGAGTACACAGATGGGGTGTATATTATATTATGACATATATTTTGACAGGGTCAGGGTGTTGTGGCATTATCTTCAGGATTTTCTCATGCTTTGCCTTTCCTGATACATCTTACTTTCTCCTCCACATCTCCCCAGGATAGTTCTGAAAACCTTTGTGCTGCGACCTGTCTTCCTAAGAGGATGGTCCTTTCTTATTACCCAAAATGACCATCTTTCCCCTGCAGGGTAATAGGGCCTAGGACGCAGGACAGTGAGGATGAGGAGATCAGTTTACAGGTGAGAAGTGTGTGAGGACAGAGGGCTGTGTCCCATTTCTGATCCGAGTCTGCCTTCCCCACATCAGATTATGCTGCTGATGAGAGCTGTGCACCTCGAGGGTACCTGGCAGCCACAATGCAGTTTGTTCCCGGCCATTTCTCCTGTGACGTTGTATGGGAAACTGTGATTCGGGTCCATTCACGCCTCAAAATGGGGCCCAGCATGGGGGTCTCTCGTGGTGTGTGATGGCAGGAGAGGGCAGGGGGAGTGCGGTGGGGGCTCTGGAGCAGGGAGAGTCCTGAGCCCCTGTTCCTCCCACAGCCATCCAGGCCCTGCGCTCTGTGCTCAATGCCTTCTCCGTGGTGAACCGGAAGAATATGTTTGTTTATCAGGAGCGAGCAACAAAGGCCGTGTATTATCTTCGGTATGTGTGCCCTGGGAAGACAGGGTAAAGCATGGGTCGTGGATGGCATAGGAAGGAGGTGTGTCCAAAGACCTTGCCACTCTTTCCCAGGCTCCTGGAGACGACCTGCAGTGAGCGGCCGTGGGAAGGCGATGCTCTGCCCCCATCCCTAGCTCTGTCCCGGAGCCAGGAGCCCATCTCCTCTGAGGAATCCTCGGCATGTATTCCCTCCACTCCCCGATGCCCCGTGCGCCCTCAGGCCTTGCTCCCTAGAGCAGGCCCTGACCAGAGTTTTCCTGCAGGGTCCTCGTTCTCCCCTCGACTTGGCTTCCAGCCGCAGTGCAGATACTGCTCGCCCTGTGGGCCAAGTGGACAGGCACATCCGGCTGCTGGTGCATGGCGTGGGGCAGGCAGGTAAGGACTGCAAGGAGAGGGTAGGAGAGTGACCAGATGAGGTTCCAGAAGTGTCCAGGACTTTTCTCAAAGCCTTCCCACTCCAGCTCACGCTATGCTCGGGGCTTCCCTCAAGCAGGAGCCATGCAGGTATGACAGACTGCTGTGATACTTAGGTGTAGGACCTGCAGTTGATTGAAATGCAGCTAGGGGAAGCGGGGTCATTAAAGCTGACACCCAGGTATCTTTCCTGGGTGACTGTGTGTGAGATGGTGGCCCATTGGCTGGATGCCAGGGGTGGGTGGGGGTGAAGATGATGGGCTCGATTTGAGACACGTTGAGCCTGAGGTGTCTGTTAGGCAGATGGATTTTCCAGCTAACATTTATGGTTCAATTAATGTGTGCTGGGTCTTGGGCTAAGATGGTTATATATGAGGTAGGTGCTATTAGTCTCATTTTATGGCTAAGGGCACTGAGGCTTTGAGAGGTAAAGCTCACTTGTCCACAGTGAGTGGCTTGGCAGAACCAGCCCCTAGTGCTGGCTGTCTGTATATATGGGAGAATGTTCAAGTCTGGGGTTTAACGGCTGGTTTGGGATAGCTGGATCCTCAGCCAGTGTCTCCACCTTACCTCCATGGCTGCGTCAAGGTCCTGAGATCACAGATGAGCTGGTGCGGGTCCTGCGTCGGCGCCTGGATGAGGCCACTCTGGACGTCATCACAGTCATGCTTGTTCGGAACTGCAAGCTGACACCAGCCGATGTGGAGGTCAGCTCCCTCCCAGACTCCAGCATCCTCCATGGTGCAGTTGCAGATGCAGGACAGCCTTGGCAGGAACCTCTTCATCCAGCTCTGACTCCCCTTCCACTCTCTGCAGTTCATCCAGCCCCCTGGAAGTCTCCCCTCAGAGGTGCTGCATCTGGCCTTGCCCTCCGCCTGCCGGCCCTGGCTTCCTGCCCTGGCCTGGTACCTGCGGCAAAACCTGCTCATTTTCCTGCACTCTCCCAAGTACACAGACAGCAATGGCCGGAACCACTTCCAGGTGAGGTTTCACCCGCCTCCTTCCACACCCACATGCACTTAGTCCCCGCCCCCCAACACACACAGCCTTAGGTGTGTTTTATACGGATTCCCCATGCATACCTTTGCCCATGGACCCTTCCCCCACATACACCTTTGTTATCTCCCTGTGTCTTCCCGTGCTCCCCATTCTCCAGACACCCATTCCCTGATGGCTTTTGTCCACTAGCCTCATCTTAGTTCTCGGTGGCTGTTCTCTCCCCAGCATCCACTCCCACCACAGGGCAGCCTCCCCGACTTGGACATTTACTTGTATAACAAGCCTGGTGGACAGGGCACTGGGGGCAAAGGTACAGTGTGGGCAGTACCAGGTGTGGGAAAGCCCTCTCCCATCTCTTGGCTGAAAGGGCCTTTCCCAGCCTTGCCTCTAAGGTGGGTGCGGGGGAGGAAAGGGGATCTGGAAGTTCCAGACCTGAGTTTTCCTGTGGATTTCTACCCAGGAGTTGCCTGCATCACTCTAGCCTTTGTGGACGAGGGAGGGGCCCCCATCTCACTGGCATCATGGCCCCCCTCTTCTCCGGGGCCTCCAGATGTACTGCAAGAGGAGGAGTTTGAGCAGTTGACCCAGATCACTCGCTGCCCGGTCGTGCCAGACAGCTCTTCAGGTGGGGCCGCTTTGTTAGAGGAGTGTTCGCATGCTATAGGATGCTTTTGGAACTGGGGGCACTCTCAGGTGACCCCCATTCTTTCCTCCAGCTCACAGTGTGGCCCCACGGCTTCGACTGGATGTGTGGGAAAAAGGTCACATCAGCATCGTACAGCTAGAGGAGAGGCTCCGAGCAGCGGCTCGCCAGGCCCTGGCCGATGCCGTCATGGAGCTGCAGCTACTGCCAGCCTCCCTGTGCACGGAGGACATGTCCCCAGGTATGTCGGGGCCAGAGAATGTCACAGATCCAGGCAAGATGGTGTTTGAGGTGTGGGATCTGGGAATATGTCACAAAGGCTCCATCTGGGACGCACATTCATAGCTGTCCTTTGCCTTCCCCGCATCAGCAAGTCATGAGCAGAAATGTGCCCAGGCTTAGAGTCACCCGCATGGAATGAAAAATTCCAGGAATTCACACCTGCAGCCACGCACTGTCAATCACAGACACTGCTACTGTCACTCACTGACCAGTAGAGGAAGCCTCGAGGCATTGTCATACCAGTCTTGGGCTAGGTGTGGGGAATTGATGGTTAGTGACAGACATGTGTATTGTTTGATGTCTACAGGAAGTCTCAGGAGTGGGTCATTGGAAACCAAGAGCCCTGCAGGCCGAGCTAGCACCTTTCCCCCTGGGCCTGCCCCTGAGGAGCCTGTGACTCCCCCCAGCAAAGCTGGCCGGCGTAGCTTCTGGGATATGCTGGTAATGGGAGAATGGGAGGAAGTGGTGAAGTTGGCATCTACTTTCTTGCTGCCTCCTAGTTCCGCCTACACTCCCCTGCAGGCCTTGCCTCAGAGCCCCTATTATATATATAAAACTACTGTTCCTTGGGTAGGAGTTTGCAGAATATGGCAAGTTCTCACTGATGGAAAGAGAGCCTCAGCTTGTTAAGTGCCTTCACTTCTGTTTTCCTCACTGTATCCTCAGACCTGTAAGATGAGCAGGGCTTTTACCAGTGAGGCAGTTGGGGCTCAGGAAAGTTGAGTAGCCTGCCCAGGGCTGCTTAGTCAGTCTGCAGTAAAGCCAGGCCTGAACCTGGGCCTCCAGATCCTCTAGGCTCCTGTTACCGTTCCCTGATATGTCCACCCTCCATCCTGTTCCCCTTCCCAATAGCCCCTCTTCATTCACTGCATTGCCTTCAGAGTAAAACAGAATCTGGGGACTTGGGTTCCCCCAAAACAACTGATGACATTGTCCTGGATCGGCCAGAAGATACTCGGGGCCGAAGGCGTCACAAAACTGAAAATGTTCGGACTCCAGGTGGAACTGAGCGGGCATCGGACCCAGAATCTGGAGCCAAGAGACAAAGGTGCACATGTGTGTTGTGCAGGGCAGGGTGTGGTGTGAAATCACAGGCGGGGCTTGGGTGTAGGTAAACACATACGAGTCAGGAATCAGTGTGTGCTGCTTACTCCTGCTGTCTTCAGACGCCGGACCACACAGCTAGAAGAGGGCGAGGTGGGGACCCTGCAGCCTGTGTTCGCTCATGTTACTCAGCGCTGGATGGAGTTCATGGTTCAGATTGGTGAGATCCCCCACCTCCACTCCCACCCTCAGCCCGGTCCCCACCCTGCAGCTCCAGCAGGACTTCTTTGCTCTGGGTCCAGGTTGCGCCTCAGTGTCCAGGAGCTCCACCTGCATGGTGTCCCGGTTCCTCCTGCCATCCATCTTGTCTGAGTTCACCACTCTGGTCACCTCGATGGCTGGAGACACCAGCGTTCGTGTCTTTGAGCAGCATTTGTGAGTGTGGGGTCCCACAGAGGCTGAGTCCGGTGGGGGCTTAGGCTCAGGAAGGTGATGGTCAGGGCATGAGACCAAGCAGTCTGCTTTCTCTGCATCCCTCCCTCCTACTAGGAGTTCAGGGCCAGACGTCTTCAGTCCTCGTTCTCTTGGACAACTGGGCCCAACACCCCGCCCAGCAGCTGAGCGGCATCTGCTGCTTCTGGGAAGGAACTTCTTGCAGTGGAGGCGACCAACCCAGCAGGGTGAGAGCATGGACTAGGGGAGGGTGAGTTTAGAGTGACCAAAGGGGTGGTTTCTGACCTTGTGGACGACAGGACAGGGTGGAGGGGTCTCTGTCTCCAGACCCCTATTAAGACTCCCCCATCCCCACACTGTAGCTGCCAAAGCCTTGCAGCGCTTCGAGCCAGGGGGCGATGGGAGCTCAGGGCGGAACGCTCCCCGGCAGAGGTTCTTGCTCCTGGAGATCGTGGATAAGAAGGTAGATATGGGGTCAGGGGCTGGGTGGGAGAAGAGGTTCTGTGACCTCACTGACCCTGACCCCTGACTTCCAGCTACTGCTGCTGACTTACAACTGGGCTCCAGACCTGGGGGCAGCCTTGGGCCGAGCGCTGGTCCGCCTCGTGCAGTGGCAGAATGCACGTGCCCATCTCATCTTCTGCCTCCTCAGCCAGAAGCTTGGACTTTTCCATCATTATGGCCAGTTGGACTTCCCAGTGCGGGATGAAAAGGTACCTGCTGCTCGGGCTCCCTCCTCTAGTTCTGGCTCCTGAGGGTTTTGTGTAAGGAAGTACCAGCTCAGAAGTGGTCAGGGGATAGACTGAGGGCAGAGGTGGTGCAGAGAGAGAGTCCGAGAGGGGAAGCCATGGGACAGGAGAGAAGAAGGTCTGAGGACAAAGGCCACGCACCCATTGTGAGGCTCCATCTTTTCAGGAGCCAAACCCATTCCTGCTGCCCACAGTGGACGCAGAGACCCTCATCCGGAGTGCAAGTCCCCCTCTGAGCCGGGAGCAAGGCCGGCTCACCGGGTCCTCTCGGGGTGGGGGTTCCCTTCCCCTGGACACGTTCCCCTTCGATGAGGCCCTGAGGGACATCACAGCTGCTCGCCCCAGTGCCTCACTCGGCTCTGTGCCCAGACCCCCCGATCCCGTCACCTACCATGGACAACAGTTTCTGGAGATCAAGATGACAGAGCGCAGAGGTGAGAGCACCGGGCCCGACCATGGGCAGAGGCAATCTGTGGAGTCTGGGAGGGAGGCACATGGCAGGTCCTGGGGGCCACTACTAATGTTCCCAACCCCCCCAGAGCTGGAGCGCCAAATGAAGATGGAGAACCTGTTTGTAACCTGGCAGCAGCGGTCCACCCCAGCCAGCATGCCCGTCAGCGTGAGTAGCCCGAACCCACATCCTCCAGGGGCATCCTGTACCCTTCCCTGACCACTGCTCTCACGCTCACTGCCCCATTTCCCCAGGCTGGGGAGCTGGAGACCCTGAAGCAGTCATCCCGCCTAGTACATTACTGTGCAACAGCCCTGCTCTTCGACCCTGCTGCCTGGCTGCATGGGCCCCCAGAGACCTGTGGGCCTCCTGAGGGGCAGGTGAGGCCCGAGACTCCCGGTTTCCTCCCTGGGACCTGTTTACCCCGCAGTGACCTCCATCCCTCCACTCTCAGTAGGGTAGCTAACAGTAGGCAGACTCTCCCTTAATTTCTGCTCCCACAGCGGCGCCATCGCCCTGAGCCAGGACCTGGGAGCCGAGAGGCCCCCTCAAGCTGTGAAGCCTTGGATGTGCCTCCACCGGGCACCCGTGAGGAGCCTTGGCTGAAGGAGCTGAGCCTGGCTTTCCTGCAGCAGTACATGCAGTATCTGCAGAGCATGGGCTTTGTGCTGGTACCACTGCGGCCCCCCTCGCCCGCCCGCAGGTGAGCGCATCTCCTCCTTGCCTCCTGCACTGCAGGTGAGGCCCACTCACCTTCCTGTCTTCACATGGGTTCCGTGAGAACAGCTCAGGCCTGTACATGTGCACCCTCTAGGCCAGCACACGTACATGAGGTCCTTGGAAATTTCCATGCAGCCCTCCTCACCCATGTCCTGTAGATGTCACACATCTCAGGGAACTCACAGAACTGTGTACATTCTCACAGAGCTCATGTGAGAATGTACACAGTAAACCCATACATTTACATGCACATGGAGCTGACCTCTCCTGAGGTTTACGTGGTCCTGATCCAGGAAGCCCTTGACTCACCGAGGCCAGCTGTCTTTCGCACCAAGATCCCCAGCCCTGGGCCTGCTCGCCTCACTCTCCTCCAGCCTGTTCTTGGTCTCGTTCATCCACTGGCCGCTGGTGACAGGTTGGAGTCTTGGGAAGTAGGCAGCCCCTCTGTCACCACTTTGCATCTCCCAGAGCTCAGGAACAAGTCCACAGCCACCTCTCCTCCTTTATCGAGTCTCAGATCCCCATTGCTGTGGCCCTGCTCTGTGTTCTTCTCAACACCTGAGCCTCTGGATTCTGTGTGTTCCAGCCCCTTGCCAGAGGCTCACGGGACGGTGTCTGTTCATGTCACACAATTACTTTCATGCCTCTGGATTTCTGAGTTTCTTTTCCACCTCCTCTCTATCTTTAGTTTGATGCCCTTTCAAGGTAGTAAATGCCATTATATTTCCTTCATCAAGATACCACCTTGGACCAGAAAGCCAGTTCCCCCTTAGTGTTTTGTGACCAGCTCTCCACCTCCTGGGCGGCCTGTGTCTCTGGGCCCCCACCCCTTGTTTCTCAGCGACCACCCAAGGTAGTTGCTCAGCTTGCTGCCCTTGGCTGGCTTCAGCTTCTCTGAGAGAAGCCCCTGGGGCCGGGGGGTGTTCGCTTACTTTGTATTTATTTATTAGAAATCTGAATTCCTTTTTAAAACAAAAGATGTGCTAGGTTAAAAAATGTTTCTAGAGCAAAATTTAAGTCAGGCTTTCCTTTGTTACCAGTTGCCAATCACTAGTTAGGTCTTGTCCTTATTTCCTTAAGGATTAAATGGGACATTTCTTTTCACTAGAGGCTTAGACACCCGCCCCCAGCCCCCGCAAGAGTTCTGGTTCGTGCCTCCTAAGTAGGAGGACTGGGTCCCACTGGCCCTTCCTGTATTACCCTGTTCCCAGCACTTTCCCTGCTGTCCTTCCCCTTTGCCTCTGAGCTGAGAAAGGAAGAACAGGAGGCCTGTGGAATGCTGAAGGTACCACTCCCCCGGCACGAGAGCAGCCCCTTTCCCTCGGAGGGGAAGGTGCTTAACTAGGTGTCAAACTCAGGTCTCCCTGAGTTTTCCTCTTAAAATCTTAGACATGCAGCACCGCCCCCCACCCACACTGCCCCCAGGAAGCAGACGTCTCCACTCATGTGCATGTCTCCCTATGTCCTCAGCAGCCTCTCTGGCCCTGACCGCCTCCTCTCACTGGTAGAGAAGGGCCTGGTCTCCACCTCTGAACTGAGCGCTGCCCATACTTCCCCTTAAAGCAGCAGTTGCTGTGGAGGGAGCCCTGCCCCGAAGTCTAGACTGGACTCCAGTCCCAGCCTTGCCACTTACTCACGTGGTGCCCCGAGCAGGTCCTTCCCTTTCCGGGCCCAGCTGTGCTCCTACCAAACAGTTCCACATAAAACGGTTGTGGGTCTGATGACCATAGTCGTCCTCCTCACTGACTGGCTGTGTCTTGTCTCTTCACTTTCTGCAGCGCCAGCCGGTTGCGGGCCATGGCGTTCCTTGGGACAGAGGGTCGGGGCTCCTTCTCCTGCCCTAAGACCAAGGCTGATGGGAGCCCCAAGGTAACACGTCATCTTGTACCTTCCCTGCCTGAAAATCAGTGATGCCCCAGATACCAGTGTTACTAAGTCTGAATTATTTCCCAAGGCCAGAGGTCAGGGACCCTGCATATGATGCCTGAGGTTGTTGATTGTAGCCTGACTCCATTAAAGTCATCAGCCCAAGAGCTTCCCTGCTGATCTGAAGCCAGTGAACCCTCAGCCCTTGCCTCTGAACCTGTCTCTTTTCCCTTCTCCAGAGCACTGGCTCTCCAGTCACCACCTACCACTTGCAGCGGGCACTGCCCGGGGGCATCATCCTCATGGAGCTGGCTTTCCAGGTGAGCAGGAGGAGCACTGAGTGCGGGGAGCCTGGCCCCCTGTCTCTCGCCCTCCTGACCTCGTGCTCACCCTCTCTCCAGGGCTGTTACTTCTGTGTTAAACAGTTCGCCCTGGAGTGTTCCCGCATCCCCATGGGGCAGGCCGTCAACTCGCAGGTACGCGGTGGGGCTGGGGGTGTGGGGTCTAGGCCCAGTCAGTGCGTCCCCAGTGTGCGGCAGCCAGTAAGAGCGATGCATGGGCAGTCTTGCCCAGTGATGATCCGGTGCTGTGGGCTGGCCAGGCAAGGGTCATTCTGGCGACTGGACCATCCACCAGTGTCACTCTGCAGGTGGTCCAGAGCTATGTTCAGCTGTAGCAAGAGGGCAGAAGGCAGTCCAGGACAGGGGCTGGTCTGGCCACGATCATCCTGGCATTGACAGCCTGGTGCAGAGCCAGCCCATAACCACAGCTGGTTAGACAGAGCAGACATTCGAGCATGGCAGGGAATCTGACACATGGGTGGGCCGGTGCCCTGGGCAGTCCTAGCCCAGTCTGCAGCTGGGGGTATTCTGGCATGGCCAGTGCAGTCACTGACCTTGGCCTGTGGGCCACAGTGCCCACCCACACAGCATACCCGTCACTCAGTTGTTATTCATGCAGGGCTCCTGAAAACCCTGTGAGGGCCACATGCTAAGACAAGTGAAAGATCCTAGTGGCCAGAACCGAAGCCCTCTGCGTGTGACTTAGTTCAGCTCCGTCAGGTTGCTCCGCACATCATGCGAGGGCCCGTGCCTTCCTTGGGCCTCGCATTTAGTTTCTGAGAGATCAGGATTCTCATGGGCCCCATCTGCCACCCCCCAGCATAAACAGCATTGCCTCCTCTCCATACCTGGACAGCTTGTATCCAGCCCACAGATGATTGCCTTTGACTTGGGCATGGATACCTGGTCTGGTCATCACAGGATAATGTAACTCGGAAAAGCTTAGTGGCTATGTGCAGGGACCTCCTTGAGCCTCAAGTGTTCAGAAGGGAGCGATGAACCGGCAAGAGCTCTTTCACACTTGGCCGTAGTGTTGGCAGGAAGGACCCACCCCCACTACTCTCCAGCCTCCTGAAGTCCCTGTGGCTCCCCTGCCCCGATTGCCATCTGGCCTGGCTCTCTGCTTCCACTTACCTAATCTCTAACGCTACTTAGATTCCTAAATTGCTTTATTATCGTTGTTTGTTTATTATGTGCTTAGTATATCCACTAAGTGAAGGGGAGTTTTAGTCCTGCACGGATCAGGCAGCAGGGTCATAGAGGTTCACTAATTCTCCCCAGGGCACAGAGCTGGGGGGGAGGCAGTACTGGCTCTCTGATGCTGAGGCTCATTCTTGATTGTGGTGTTTTTCCCAATGCCTCTAACTTTACGAAGACCTTTACTTTATCTCCAAGATAGGTGAGGAAACTGAAGCAGGCAGATCGTGACTTACCCAAGATCTAAGCAGCTACTCTGACTCCTAGGCTGTTGCTCTTCTACGTTCATTTCCTTTCCTAGTAATTCCTCTGCCCAGGGTGCCCAGGGAAGTGCCCGTGTAGGTTCTGCCGTTCTGGCCCCAGAGAGCCAGCTGTTAACTCACTTTCAGTGATGGCGATTCCCACCAAAGGAAGCATCAGCTCCATGTCTCTGCCCACTTTCCTTCCTTCCTTCATTCACGGATCAATCAGAGGAGGCCCACCCTAGCCTAGCCTTGCCTTGGCAGGATATCCCAGACAGAGCTTACTAATGAGACATTAGCCGGGCTTGGGGTCAGGGAGAGCAGCATTCCAGGTGAAGGGAGCAGGTACGAAAGAGTAGGGTCTATGTGTTGAACCTGGGAAGAGCCAGTAGTTTGATGGGAAAATATGTCTGGAGAGATGGGAAGGGGCCAGCAAAAACTTTCCGATAGTCAGTAATCACACACCTGGCCTACCCTAACCACCTGTTTAAAATGGCGACCACTTCACTTTTTGATTTTCCACGACACCTTCTTCCAACGTACTGTGTACTCAGGACCTCTGTCTAATGTTTACTGTCTCACCTCCCTGCTGCTCAAATCAAGCTCCTCAAGGGCGAGGGCTTGTTTCCCAGTGTATTCGCAGCCCCTACAGTCGTACCCAGTGGACACTCAAAAAGCATTTGTGCATCAGTGAGTCTGTGCCAGACTTCAGCGGACTCGGGTACAGAGTAAAAAAGACCGGTCTCTCAGAATGGTTGGTTCCGTGTAAACAGAGTTACATACGGTATAAAAAAGAGCATATTGTGAGGAGGGCTTCCCAGAGCTGCTCTGGTGGCCGGCCCGCAGCCACAGGGTGCATCTGGAGCTGTCTTTTCCCGCACGAGGGGAGGGAGACGGGAGTGTGCTGGGCAGCCCATGCTGCTGTTTCCTGACCCCGGCCCTGCTGCCTCCCCAGCTGTCCATGCTGTTCACCGAGGAGTGCGACAAGGTGCGGGACCTGATGCACGTGCACTCGTTCAGCTACGACTTCCACCTGCGCCTGGTGCACCAGCACGTGCTGGGGGGCCACCTGGTGCTTCGGCATGGCTACCACCTCACCACCTTTCTGCGACACTTCCTGGCCCACCACCCCGATGGGCCCCACTTCGGTCGCAATCACATTTACCAAGGTCAGTGCCCAAGGGCAAGCCAGTAAACCTGAAAAGAACACAGGCCCCAAGGTGTGGGCTGGTGGGACCACCTCCTAGGGCCAGACCTCATCTTCCTGTCCCACGTCGTTAATTGTCTCACATCTCTTGGACCGTGTCTCACAGCTCTGTCTTAACTTCTTCAGTTTATTTCATACCAAAGTTTAGACCCTGTGTCATGTACCCCCCCCCCGTCTGTCCTGACCCACTTTGTCCCATCCTAATTTCCCACAGGGCCTTAGGGGCTCCCCCGAAAGGCAGGGCCAGTCCGCCTGTTGGTCAGAGCCTTAGGGACCCTTAACCCTCCGAGCCACCCTGTTGGTGTGTCTATCCCAGGCTCACCGTCTCCTCCAATTTGCCCCATAGGGACCCTGGAGCTGCCCACACCACTCATTGCTGCACATCAGCTGTACAACTACGTGGCCGACCACGCCAGCTCCTACCACATGAAGCCCCTAAGGATGGCCCGGCCAGGGGGCCCAGAACACAATGAATATGCCCTGGTGTCGGCGTGGCACAGGTGAGGAGGGCCATACCAGCTTGTTTTCTGGTGGAGCTGTGGTCAGGACCACCCAAGCAGTAGGGAGACCCGTGTTTTCTTGGGCAGAAGGGTGAGGTTGATTTCATTAGAGCCTCAGGACTGACACCTTATCCCCACCACACAGCTCTGGCTCCTACCTAGACTCTGAGGGACTTCGTCACCAGGATGACTTTGACGTGTCTCTGCTTGTCTGTCACTGTGCTGCACCCTTTGAGGAACAAGGAGAGGCTGAGCGGCATGTCCTGCGGTCAGCAGATTCTCTACTTTGAATGTGCCCATTGCCCTGCCTGCCCCCTGCCCTCACCCTGTGTGTCTCCTGCTGTGACCATCACACTCTTTCCCCCTCGGCACCCCAGGCTACAGTTCTTCGTGGTGCTCACCAGCCAACGAGAGCTCTTCCCCAGACTAACTGCTGACGTGCGCCGGTTCCGGAAGCCACCCAGACTACCCCCTGAGCCAGAGGTTCCTGGGAGCTCAGCTCGTAGCCCTAGGGAGGGCTCAGGGGTTGGTCTGGCCCCTGGACCAGCTCCTCTGTTCCCCCCGCTGGCTGCAGAGGTGGGCGTGGCTCGGGCACGGCTGGCTCAGCTGGTCCGGCTAGCTGGAGGGCACTGCCGCAGGGACACCCTCTGGAAGCGCCTCTTCTTGCTGGAGCCACCAGGGCCTGATCGGCTGCGGCTCGGGGGGCGCTTGGCCCTGGCTGAGCTGGAGGAGCTTCTGGAAGCGGTCCATGCCAAGTCCATTGGGGACATTGACCCCCAGCTGGTGAGGAACTGTGTGTGGGTCGGAAGGGGCTGGGATGGATGTTAGGAATCCATGGGCAGCCAGGGCGGAGGGTGCAAGGTGGCTTGGGACAGCAGACCCAGGCCTGTGCGCCCTCCCCCAGGACTGCTTCCTGTCTATGACGGTCTCCTGGTACCAGAACCTGATCAAGGTTCTCCTGAGCCGCTTTCCCCAGAGCTGTCGCCATTTCCAGAGCCCAGACTTGGGAACTCAGTATCTGGTAAGTTCCCTTGATCCACCCCCACCCCAAAACAGGAGGCTCACCAGAAATCCTCATCAGAGAATGATGGGTGTCCACTTCAGGTAACCCAGCCCAATCAAATAAGCTCTGCTTGGGGGGGAGGCTTCAATGGACGAGCCTGCGGATACATGTGTAGAAAAACAAAAGGCAAACAAAAAAGACACGCACTCTGAGCCGTGGCATGTGACTCGCTCACGGAGAACCACCTGGAGCTCCGCCTCCAAGGCTCACACAAACACAAACCTTCCTTGGCTAGAGCTCCTGAGGACCAAGTTCTGGAACCTCCTCAGTGGTTGCTCTTGGAGGCTGCCGTCCCAGCAAGGACCTCTTGGGCTTTAAAGCTTTATTACCCCCAAACTGTGGCTTCACACCAGCAGCATCAGCACCACCTGGGCCCTCACCAAAGTGCACTCTCGGGCCCCACTCCAGACCCACTGGCTCAGAGTCTGCGCTTCAGCCAGGTCCCCAGGTGGAGGGTGGAAGTGCTGCTGGGAAGGACAGGTAGAGAGAAAAGACCTGTGGGGACAGGCACACACACGGGGCGCTTCAGAGAGACGAGAGAGATGGGCCCAACGAGAGCAGTGGTCCAGGAAAGGAGACACTCGGGAGAAGACTTCACAGGAAAAAGCAGGAGCTGGTTCGTGGTGATGTAACCTAGTGCTTGTAGGAGTGGGAAGGCCGCGGCAGCAGGGGGTTGGGGAAGAGCGAGGTGATGCGTCTGAGGCTTACGAGGACCTTCTAGGACCACAGTTCAGAAGGTTTGTGTGGATGTCAGGGATTGGCACTCAGGAGGGGGCGGTCTGGGCAGCACCCGTGTGAACAGGGGCCACTGTAGCCTTGGGAGAGGAAGAAATCACCCAGGGAGACTACGAAGCTGAGCATGAGCAATAGATAGGGGATGGTTGCAGGAGAGGCCAGAGACACAAGACCTGGGACAGGACAGGAGGCGAAGAGGGGTCCTGTCAAGGGTGGAGAACTCTCCTTCCGTGTTGGGGTTGGTTCAGTGCCAACTTTGTGCACGGCCTCTAGATAGACGGCTTTGGGAACCTTCCCGATCAAGCCCCGCTTCCCTTCACTGTGGCCAGGCTGGCCAGGCTGGCCAGGGGCCAGTGTGGATGGGGGCGGAGGTTCCGTTTGGAGAGGCGGCTCCGGGCGATTGTGCAGCGCAGGTGGGGTGGGCATGGGGATGGAGGTGGTGCTGCTCCCCACGGCCCGCCCACTCCCAGGACGCCCTCCAGGACGGGCCGTGCTTCCTCAGGGAGCCAGCCTCACTCCCCATCTTGCTGTGCCTTTTGCTGCAGGTTGTGCTAAACCAGAAGTTCACTGACTGTTTCGTGCTAGTGTTTCTGGATTCCCACTTGGGAAAGACGGTAAGAACACGGGGTGAGAGGTTTTATGTTGGCCTGGTGGGAGGCTGCGCCCCAAACGCCCTACCCCATAGTCTGCTGAGGTTGGGGAGCCTTCCCTACCTTCCTCTCACCAGCGTACCCCACTGTGTCCCCACAGTCTCTGACAGTGGTTTTCCGAGAGCCCTTCCCAGTGCAGCCCCAGGACAGTGAGAGCCCTCCTGCCCAGCTGGTCTCCACCTACCACCACCTCGAGTCGGTCATCAACACAGCCTGCTTCACCCTCTGGACCCGCCTCCTCTGAGGGACAGACTGCTGGTGTCACTGTTCCTTGGATCGTGGGTCTGTACGGTCACCCACTTGAAGCAGAACCAACCAGCCCTTCTGTGCCCCAGCACAAGCCTGGATGCTGAGGGACACCAGAGGGTCTATGACCACATCTGGGGGGCCTGCAGCCCCAGCCTGGCAGCAGAGGTAGCTGTCCCCAGAACACAGCTGCTGACCAACCCGGGGCTCTGGAGGGTTGGTCAGCCCCTGAGGTTCCCATCTCCTCTGGGGTCCCTGGGCCCTTCCAGAAGGAGACTCCTCCTTCCTGCTCACCTGGTGCAGTCCCAGGAATTCTTCCACCTGGCAGCAAGCACTCACCCACATTCCTCTGCCTGGATGCTGCTCCAAGTCACCGCCTCCCACCTTGAGCTCTCTGGTCTTGGCTTCCCCTGGGATATTCCTCCTGGACATGGCCCCCGAGACAGGACCCCTTGGTCCCAGTCCCTGCTCTGCCTCTGGTGCACCTGTGAGCATGGGCGAGTCCCTTTGCTTCTGGACCCTGTGTCTCATGAGGAGACACCTATACGTGAGGGGGGGGAACTCGGATCCCTCCTGTCTCACAGCAGTGCTGCGGACTGGAGGACTTGAGTGTGAGCTGTGTCCCTTCTCAACAGGAGGGAAGTGGTCCCAAGAAAGTGAAGGGTCAGACACTGTGTGTCCCCCCTGCCCCCAATAACGTACACATATGAACACATTCAACAGGTTGTCTTTAATTCAGAGGATGCTCAGCTCACTGTCGCAGAGACGTGGGTGGGCAGCAGGGCCTCACGGGCCAGCCTGGGGGCGGCCCCGCCTGTCCCAGTAGGAACGTAGCCAACTCAAGCCCTCTACTGTGTCTCCTGAGGGGAGAAGGTGGCATCCCAACCCGTGAGGAAAACAGCCTTTGTCCAATACCTGGCCCTCCTGTCCTCCCCTCCCCGGGGCCAGGCCTGGAGCCTTAGCCCACCCTCACCTTGAGGCTGGTACTCGCAACCTACAAAGCCTTTGTAGCCTTCATCTTCCAGCAGTTGGAATAAATAGGGGAAGTTCAGCTCTCCAGGGCTGCCAGGGTCCCCCCGGCCTGGGACCTGTGCCACCTGCACATGCCCTGGGGATGGATACAGGCAGATGGGAGGCCCAGGCTCCAGCTGAGGGGCAGGGGCTCGGAAGGGTAGGAGGGCAAGGGAGGCAGCACAGCAGACAAGGAGCGAGCCAAGAAAGGGCCCCTCTCACCAACGGTGGGCAGGAACTCCCGGATGTTCCCCGTCAGGTTCCCATCCATGATCTGCCAGTGGAATATGTCCTGGGCAGAGATTCTCAGTCAGCGCCCACCACTGTTCCCAGACTTGGAGGCCACGGGCCCTCTAAGAAGCTCCTCTTTTTCCACATACCATTTGTAACTGGAGGTTGGGTCTTCCAACCTTCTGCAAGATGGCTGCCGCTGGGAGAGAAACCAGGAGGGGGCTGTGACACTCAAGGAGAGCACAAGAATCAAAGGGACGACGGGAGGTGGCACAGGGCCGGGGGTCCTACCCTGGTGGGGCGACTCCAGGAAGTACTGGGGGTCAGTGAGGCGGGTGTTAATGGGCTCCAGCAGTCCCACGAGGTTCTCCTAGCACCGTGTTGGGTCTGTGAATAGAGCTCCTCCCCCGGGGTTTGTCCTCATCTCAGTTACCAGTCAAGCCCCTCACTGGCCCCTCAGACCCGAACCAGTGCCCAGCCTGGTGCCTGGCTGCCCTCCACACTGTGCACGCCCCTCCACAACACACTCAGACACACGTGTGTCTGTTTTATTGTCACCTCACCTGAGCCAAAACCCCAGCGGCATGCCTCAGGTTCTCCAGAAAAACGGTCTCCATCTCACCCCTGACTGCTGCGCGTTCAGTGCCCTGTGGAACTCGGCCGGCCATCAGGTGAATCCTGTGGGGAAGTGGGACTGGAGGGGGCTATGGAGTCGGTCCCAGAAGCAAGACCTTCGCCCCCTTGACCCCCCCAGTGTGCCCCTCTTTTAGCTGCCCTTGGCCCACACCAGCCCTTCTGTCCCCACACCCCACGTCTCCAGTCCATACCACCCGGCCTGAAGCTCAGGCCGCACCCTTTCCACAGCCTTCCTGCGGGTCAACCCATCCTCATCTTCCTGTCTCAGAAACCTCAGTCCTGTACTTCCAACCTCGGCCTATAAACATGCTCAAGTCTCACCTTTTATAAATTTTGACCCTTACCCTTCTCAAGAATTCTATGCTGTTTGTCTCTACTTCTTGCATCTGTTTCTTAGCTTCTCGTCTGATTTCATACCCCCACCTCCACCAAAAATGACCCCTTGTTGTCATTTCCTGCTCAGGCTGTCTGACCTGCAGGAGTGGACACTGCTTGATCAGCCCCACTTCGAGCTCCCACCTCCGTGATCACTCCCTGATCTTTCTCAGCTGTGTCCAACCCCGACAATCGACCTCTTGAACTCTGCTGAACACACCGAGCTTCCTCTTGCCTCTGGCCAGTGCACCCCTGCCTGGAATGCTCCTTACATCAAGCTAATGATGCCCACTCCTTAAGACCCAGTTCAACATCAGTACCTGTAGGAAGCTTTCTCTGATTTGAGACAGCTAGGTGCCTGCCTGCTCTGCGCCCACCGCCTGCATGAATTGACCCAACCTCAAATAGATCCCTCCTCTGTCTTCTGTTTACTGTGCTGTCTCCCTGGTCAGACTGAGCTCCCAGCATGGGATCCCAGCAGGAGAGAAGCATGCAAGAGTTGCCAACTGAGAATGACACACAAATAAAATACGGAAGGCAATTTACAAAGGGTCAGGACTGCAGGGGTGGAGAAGTGCCAGTGGGCTCAGACTTCTAAGCCTCACGCCTGGCATCCTCATTGCCCACACCCCGAACCACATGCGGCAGGGTCTTGGGTCGTCAAGAGGAGGAGGGAAGGACAAAAATACCTGGGACAGCCTAGAGCCTTGGCGTACAGCACAGCCTGCTCCAGCCCCTCTCTGAAGGCCGCCTGCCTCCCGGGAACGGCCCCCAGCCCCATTTCCCCCTTCTCTCGATCTCCTGCCGAGAAAGAGAATGGACCTCAGCTCCCTGCTCGGTCCTCCCAGCCCCCAACGCCCCGCCTCGGGCCCCACGGCGCACCCGGAGGCGTGTTGATGAGCACCAGCTGCAGCCCTGCTTCTCGCGCCCTGCACGCCAGCGCCTCCGGTGGCTCTGCGTAGGGCCAGGCGACCTCGGCGGCCTCGAAGCCCGCGCTCCCCGCCGCCCGCAACCGTGCAGGGAGACCGGAGAGCTCCGGGAACAACCAGGACACATTGGCGGAGAAGCGTAGCGGAGCCATAACCTGCTAGGGACCCGGGGCGCAGAGCAAAGTCCACTGGGGCCGGAAGGCGGAAGGGGCGGAGCGCCGGCGAGGGCGCGGCCGGGACTCGCGGAGGTGCCCTCGGCCGGCCGTGCGGGGGCGCGCTGGCGCCGCGAGTCTGGGTCCCGGGCTCTCCGCAGGGCTCCTCTGGTGAGAACGGCAATGTGTTGTGAAAACCCTGGCCAGTCCAGAAAAGTAAAATATTTCAAAAGAGGAGAAAGGCAAGTGCGGGAGAGACGAGGGGGCCGAGCGAAGGCAACGCGGCCGGGTCACTGGCAGGGAGAAAGTGGGGAGCTCGCGGGCCCGTTTGGCTGAGGCAGCGCTGACAAGTAAGAGCCGGGCTGCCTCCAGGGCCCAGTTGAAATGCAGAATAGGACTTTAACATATACTTAGTATTTTTCTTCATTATGAAAATCGTATCTGTTCATTACGGAACATTTGAAAGTTTATGACCAAATAAAGAACATTTAAATCACCAGTTATCGCACCACTCACCCATTAACTTTCTTACACATTAGAAAATAAACGTGCAGGGTTTTTTCTTAGAATTTTTTTTATCATGCTGTATATGTGGTTTTATGGCCTACTTTTTATTTAATATAATTTTGTGAGCATTTCTCATGCTAAAAATAAAAATTCAGCTTAGTAAATTTGAACTAATTGACTTTATCCAACAATTCCTGAATCAGACAACGTTTCATCTAGCAAGCAGAGAGCTACCCAGAAGGGCTCCGCAAGATGGAAGGCTTTTATAGAAAGGAGAGTGGGGCAAGGAAGTGTTGACCCAGAGAAAAATATACCTGCCAAAAAGGACTGAGCGTTAAATGGGCCCAAATTCACAACCAGAGACTAGCAGTCATTGTTTGCTTTCGGCTGCATTTCAAAGCGTTGTGCTTCCCTCACCTAAGTCAGCCCTTAGAAGAGAGCTCCTAGGGGAGAAATTAAACCAATAGAACTGACATTTTTTTCCATCCAATCTTTGCTACCCAATCAGAGTGGCTCCATTCCATCCAATCAGGATAGTGCTTTTTGGGCCAAACTAATGATATGGAGTCCTCATTTCCATGTGCAAGGACCAATCCTGGACTTGGGGCCAAAACTCTTTATAAACCAGCTCCCCTGCCATGGATGTGGGGCGCACTTGCAGTTTCCCTCTGCTGTGCTGCGGCACCAGGACCGTGATGCAGAGGCCGTTTCCTGACTGAGTGGGCCCAGCCACAGCTGAGCTCTTTCCTAATTGAGCTGTTTTCACTGAAAAAAAGTCTTCCCCTTCGCCACACCCCAAACTGGAAACTCCTGTTGGCACCGAATGGCTGGTGATGATCTTCCATGATCTTCCGTTGACAACAGTCATTAGCAGAAGGAAAATGAAAGTTCACTGGAGGAAAGTAAGTATTCAGGGTGATCACGACTTATTGACTGAGTTGTAGCCTTTTCCATTGGCTGGCCTTGTTGCTGGGCAAGCAGAAAAATCTTCCTCCATCCAGAGTAGTAAAGTAAATACACCTTCCTCTTGGAGATGCAAGGTAGGTCTTTTCCTGGCACCAGGAAAAGTTGAGGTTTCCTTAATTTGTACGCGTGTGTTCTTCAGTGTTCAAAATCATTGCATTAGTTGCTCATTGTTCCTCACCTAGACAACCCACAATTATCTTACAGAATTGAATGTCTGTTGATGGAGATGAGGGTTTTCAATGTGTGTGCACACCATAAAAGCACTTTAACGCACCTCTCAGTACTGTCTCTGAATTGTTTTCTTCAGTTCTGTTTGTGCAGATGTCCATTACAGTGTTTGCCACATCAGCTGTTTAGATCAATGAGGGACCACATGTATGCCGGTGGTCCCATAAGAATATAATGGATTATAGTCAAAAAGTTAGCTTGCAATGTTGAAAGAAAATTCTGGACCCGACAAGGAAGTTGCAGTTACTGCTAGCTAGTTCCCCATGATATGAGGAGGCTCAGCATTCTGTCCACCCACCATGTGCCCTCCTGAAGCTGGGGCCTGGAGTTGGCAAGGGAGCAAAGGGAGAGGGCTGAGGAGAGGGAGAGCTGAGAGCCCACCGCCCGTCCACGCTTGTCCACACGGCCCCTGCACTCAGTGTGCACAGGTACTTGTGTGCACAAACTCACTTCCCTTCCCTCCATTTCCCTCCACCTTTCCTTCCTCCCAGTCCCAGTTCTCTCTCCCCTCCCCCTCTGATTGGGCACATTCCTAAGGATGGAATTACATGGTAAAAAAAAAAAAAAAGGAACATGTTTAAATTCTTCATGGCTGTGCTAAATTGCTTTTTAAAAGTGTTGAATGTTTATACTTAAGCAGTGCATGAGTGGAAGTCATCCTGGTCTGTTTTCTGTGCTAGCTTTGACAGAAGGAAGCTCTAAGTGGGAGCAGTAGGAGCACCCAAATTCCACTGTCTTCTGTCACTGCTTCCATTTCCAGCCAGGCCTCCCAGGCACCTAGAGCCCAGGTTCATCTCAGAGCGAATCCCAATGCTTGGCAGGTCCCATCTCAGCTCTGCCTCTAAGAACAGGCTGCCGCCAGCTATTGCGATCACCTGATTTTGTGCCCATCCGAAGCTGGCATTACACTTGGCACTTTGACTTGTCCTAGGACATGTTTCTTGGGCGCAGTCCAATCAGGATGTGAAGTCAATCCAAACATCAGCGTGTATACAGTCCAATGTTGACTGTGCCGAGTAATATCTAAGGGAAGTAATACTTTACTATAAATCTCTGAGTAAGAAAATTCTAAGACTTTAAAGAACCTTCATCTTCTGGGGCTTGTAACGGGGACAAAATTCCCAGCCCCCAGTGGTTCACTCCTTCTTTGCCCGTACATTCTTTAGGGCAGCAGAAATGGTATATGAACTAGATGTGCATGACTCATTTGCCTTTAATTCCCTTAAAACACCTTCACGTAATATATCAAAATAAATACAAAAGCCCTGGCTGGTGTGGCTCAGTGGATTGGGTGCCAGTGCTGATTCGAATCCCAGTCAGGGAACGTGCCTGGGTTTGGGGCATGTTCCCCCAGTCGGGGGCGTGCAAGAGGCAACCGATGGATGTTCTTGCACATCAAGGTTTTCCTCCCTCCCTTCATGCTCTCTAAAAATAAATAAATAAATTCTTCAAAAAATAAGTAAATAAATACAAAAGGAGAACAATGCCCATGACTGTCTATACCTTAAGCCACTTTGCAACATAGTCCTTATACTAAGCCGTTATTACCCATCTCGATGCTTTGCATTTAACTCTTAACCAAAGAATTTGCACAGGTATGACAATTAATCAAGGTAGCAATAATATATACATAGTCACATGGACAATGGCTAAAACTTGAGTGTACAGTTGAGTTTCATTTGATCACTGGATTGCACTTGCAGATGCGGTAAAAAAAATATTATAACCCATGTGAAATGAGAATAAAAACCTCAATGAAATTCCATTCTGTGCCTCCCAGATTGACAAAAATCTACAAGACAGATAATATCAAATATCAGATAGGATGGGAAACAAGTAGAACATGTATTTATTGCAAATGGAGTGTAAATCACTTCAACCACTTTCGGAAAAACATGAGGCATTATCTCTTACAGCCAAACATTCACACACCCTTGATCCAGCCACTCCTTTCTTAGGTGTATTCTCTGGGTAAACTCTTGCACAAGCACACCAGCAGACGAGGTCAGCGACACTCACAGCAGCACTGTTTATGCAGCAAAAAGATGGAACTGACCCACATCGTACACAGATGAGCTGCGGCGTAGCCGTACGTTGCTGTACACCAACGTGAAGAGCAAGCTGGTGGCTTGAAAAAGAAAGTCAAGTTTGCTTTTGTATTAGAATAATACACAAAGAGCTTAGTGAAGTTGGGGTCAAACTGAAAACATCGGTGTGAACACCTCAGATGGATAAATCTCAGAAACAGAATCTTGAATGAAAGAATCGAGTCACAGAGGGACATATGCAGTATGATTCCATTTCTGTTAAGTCAAAAGCGGGGAAAACCAAACAATATCTTGTGTAAGACATTTGTAAGACACCCACATTGATAACACTATGAAGAAGAGAAAGGGAATAATCACAGCATTCAGGGTGACAGGGACCTCTGCAGGGGTGGGCTTGGGTGACACTAGAAACTTCTGAAGGGACGGTCACCCCCTTTCTCTTCCACTGGATGATGTGGTCATGTGTCTTCATTTATCACTGTTCTTTGCATCTGACATCTTATAAATGCCCATTTGTATCTGTTTCATATTTAATAAATTTTTTAAACCTTCTGTATGCATTACTACCACCTGTTAGCACATTTTATGTTGATATTCTTGTTGTAGTATCATAATCTCAAGGTTTTCCCACAGAGTCAGCTTGTTTGTATTAAACTGTAATTATCCCATGTTAGGTTCAACATGCCGCCGCCCAGCCTGGCGTTCTTAGATCGTACTCTCTGCCCTGTGGAACCTATGGTAGGTGGCCTGAAAAATGGCCCCCAATGATCTTGTGTCCCCTCCCTGCAGATGTGCACTGGACCCAGCAACTCATTTCTAACAATAGCACACCACACAGGTGGTGCAACATCACCTCGGAGATTGGTTACAAAAAGGCGCCAGGTCCTGGCTTGGGCACCCCCTCTCACTCTTTCGCTCACTTGCCCTGAGAAAAACCAACTGCCATATTGTGAGCTGCCCTATTGTTAGGCCTGCTGTTCGAGGGACTGATGTCTCTGGCCAGCAGCCAGCAAGCACCTGAGGCTTGCCGGCAGCCGCGGGAGTGAGCTTGGAAGCAGATCTGCTCCTGCCGAGCTTCAAGGTGGTTGTGCCCTGGCCACCACCGCGGCTGCAGCCTTGTGACAGACCAGGTTTGAGTCGGAGCCACACCTGACTTCTGACCCTCAGAAACTCTTCGACAGTAAATGTTTCTTGTTTCAGGCCACTAAGTTTTGGGGTAATTTGTTAGCAGCAATAGTAACTAATAGAGGATGTTTCTTCTTCTGGGTGCAGTTTCCTTGTTTGGGGGGACCACGTCACT